TCACTTGTCAGGGCCATTTCCATCAAACAGCTGAATCACTGAATACAAGACAAGTAGAAGTTTTCTTTCCCTTCCCCCAGCCCCTTACCCGTTTTTCAAGATGAATCCAATGTTCTGCCTCTTTCCAGGATTGCCCGTTGTTACAGATTATGCTGTTTCCACCTTCTAGCCAGACAGCTCCTAGAGGCAGGGTCTCAGAATCAGTCACTAGATAGCCATTGCATTTGGAAAACCACCACTAGTCGGGGGTTTTCAAGCAGCTAAAGGTAAAAGATACAGACAGAACAAAGAATAAGGAAGGAATCTCTGGGATTCTCAGCGAGGTTCTAAGGGATATAGGTGGAGCCAACATTTGATTGTTTATTAACCCAGCTGCTTGTCCATTCCTTCCTCCTGGCAGATGGGCTATAATGGATCCCTCTTAAACTACCTTATTTTTCCTGTTGCCTCTCCAGACCACTAAGAAATGTCCAGAGTGTGGAGCCATTGCCAAGAAGAGATATCTCACCCAAGTCTTCTTCTGGAAGAAAACCTAGTGATGAACTCAGATTTGCACCCTCTGTTGCCCATGGTTGAGCCTCATGCACAGGGTTAACTTGAGATATTCTTGATGAATTTTACCCCTTGCAGATCCTACCACCTAAGAAAGAAGTTGTGGCATGTCTAGCCCCATAATCCTGGCACTGTTTCCCATTTTGCCTTGTTTTGGCAATATGGCCAAGCTGTCGTATTCATCTTGTTGCATCTAATGTACATCCTTTCCTTGGACCAATAGATTTTCAGACTGTCATTACTGAGAAATGCCTAGGGAGCATCTTAGCATCTCATTCACAACACTCAGATCCTCCATTGTCCCTGATTATAAATTTGAGTTGTCCAGTTCTAGTTCCTAGATTCTACTAATATCACCTTTCTTTCTCATATGCAAATAATACATTCATGGAAGAATGGAGTTTCCAGTGTCTCTAGCCAATGGTGGGAGTCATTCCCCAGCTAAGTCTTCTCAGGATCCCATGATCTTTATATGAGAGTTGTGTACTGCCCCCCTCTTCCCAACCATGTAGGATGTGGACTTTAGGCTCTATAGCAGTATTGTTATATATCCTGAGGTCCTGTATATCCCAATTTCCAGTGGAGATCAGCATACTTTGGTATTCATGGTAGTGGTGGGGTGGGGGAATCTGAGGAATGGGTAAAGAACATTTGTTTTTATGCTTGGTTTTTTGTTTTTTAGTTAGTTATTGTGTAATTTTATTTATTGTGCCTTGGTAATTCCCAGATGTTTTGTACATTTTGTAGTTATTTTGAATGTCATTTCCTTTTCTGTTACTTCCTCCTGAATTTTATAATTGCTACATGGTACTGATGATTATTTGGATTTATTTTGTATTCTGCTACCTGACTGAAGCTTTTGTCTCAGTAGCTCTGATAATTCTCTTGGGTTTTCTAAGTAAACCATCTTGAATGCAAATAGGGATAATTTTGCCTGGATAAGGAACATTTTGTAAATTGTCAGGGAGAAGGACACCTTTTTTGCTCAACCTCAGGCAACTTGTCAGAGGCATTATATCTTCTCTATCAGTTTTCCACATCAACTAAGTCAGATTTCCTAGCTCTGATGTCACTGTATCTGCCAGTGCTGTATTGTACAATAATCAATGGGGAAAAAAAAAAGGAAGAAAACTTGCCGCTGTCTACCCTGAGATGGTATAAATTAAGACTTTTTTAAAAAATCCAGTGGAAAAACAAGTCTATAAATAAAAGTTGTTGACTGCTGAGCCCAGGGACATATTAATTTCAGGACAAGAGGTGGTCATGCTAGAGGCGAATTCCCAACAATCAGCTCTGAAAGGAAGCCTTTCTTTGCCTCTTTCAAGAAGTTTCACAGCATAGAGCACCAGCCCTGAAGTCAGGAGGACCTGAGTTCAAATCTGGCCTCAGACCAAACACTTGACACTTACTAGCTGTGTGATCCTGGGCAAGTCACTTAACCCCAATTGCCTAAAAAATAAATAAATAAAATAAAATAAAAAAATAAAAAAAGTTTCGCAGCTGTTCTGTGGGTAGACATCTGATTTGTTTCTCTAACACAGCAAACAGTCCTGAAATAAATGGATAATTGTCTGGGATATATGCTTCCAGGAAAGCAGGAATAGTCAAATGCCATCATAAGGGGCCAAAGAAAAGATTAGTCATAGGGCCTCGGAGACTGATTTACAAATGAGGAGATGGCCAGAGGCGTTCTGATTTGCCTAATGCCACACAGGTAAAAGAGTTAAGATTCAAATCCACTCCTCTGGTTCCAAGCTCATTGTTCTTTGCCCAAGGTCTCTGGTGCATGGAGACCTGTATTCCCTGTGTGGTCTCACCTCTCCCTGCCCAGCCTGTCCTCTTATGTCTTCAAATACCAATACCCCTTACTGAGAGTAAACTGAAAGGAATTACATCAAAATGAAACCAGTAGACATTCAGGCTAGATAATTGGGAAGAACTTGTCATCATGGAGCAAGATTCAAGAGTGAATCAGGGAAGGAAGCTGGGGATCATACCTCCCTGTAGATATCTGAAAACAGGAAAGGTGTTGCCCCATCTCCACCTCCAAAACTTTCTAGCCTAGACTCAGTCCTCAGTGTTGCTGGAGGACTGGAATGGATTTCCTATCATTTCCAGTTTGGTTTATTTCCTTAAGGGAAGAAGAGTTGGGATTAAAATTGTCCAATCTACAATAAAAAAGACTGAGGCAGAGCTCTGAGCAGATGGCACTTTACTAAAGGGTCCATTGTCCCCTCTAATGAAGTGGACCTCAGATCTTCCTCTCCATCTGAGATGCCCCCTTCGTCTGGAACCTTGTATTTATAGAGTTTAATACCTCAATATGCAAAAGAAGCATGGTAAAATACAGAATTTCATTGGTTGACATATTGTCAGAAAATGGATAGACTCCTAATGTTAGGCAGGAGGAGATGGTACAAGCTATACATATGCTTCAAGAACATATTGGGGGTGGGGGGAACTTTCTGTACCATGCCACCACTCATGTTTGGTCATGGAATTTGAGCAAAACAGGATGGAGATATCTTTGTTAGCATTCTTGTGGTTGTGCAAGTGAGCTCCATAGCTGGTAAACAAGTAAAGAACATTATATTAAAGTTTGAGGCCTATTATAGGGCCCTCCTATTAGAATCTATATTTCTATATAACTTAAAAAAATATGGATTAGTGCATTGCTTATTCCTAAACCTATTATTAGATAACTGACTAAATATGTATTACTAGATGAATATGTTGAAATAATTACTCACAATCATAATGAACTAATTAATACTGATTAGCGTTTGAGTAGGAGTCCCCAATGAATCAATTTTCTCAGACTCACCAGACCATCTCACATATCAAGAATCAAAAACTGTATCTTTACACACACACAAAGACCTGATGTGAGAGAGAGACTGCTTCCTAATTCTTCCCAGCTTTGCTTCAAGGCTGAGAATTGATGCTTTACAAAGAGAAATGACCTCGAAGGAAAGGGAGACAAGGAGGGAAAGAAAAAGAAATAATAGGAGATAGAGTGTGAAATAAAGATTGGTGCCAGGTTATGGAGGGCCTTGAATGACAGGGAGAGGAATAGGTGATAGGGAGCCACATGTAAGATTTTAGAACAGAGGAATAACATGAGATCTCTGAATAAGGAAGATTAGCTTGGTAATGGCAATTAGCTTGGTGTAGGTGTTGGAGTGGAAACAGGAAGACCAATGAAAACATTGCCATAGTCCACACAAGTGGTAATAGGTTCCTGTATTAAAGTGGTAGAAGTGGTTATAGAGAGGAGAGATGCAGATGTTGTAGAAATGGGCCTGCCGTCAATTTGAATATGAGAGGTGAAGGTGAAGTGCCTATAAAATAAAATAGAGGAGGGGCAGCTAGGTGGCGCAGTGGATAGAGCACCGGTTCTACATTCAGGAGGACCTGAGTTCAAATTCGACTAAAGACACTTACTAGCTGCGTGACCCTGGGCAAGTCACTTAACCCCACTGCCTAAAACAACAACCCCCCCAAAAAAAAACCCCTAAAATAGAGGAAAAGGGGAATTGGTGTTGCAGAGAGATCAGCCTAGTGTTCTAGGTTTATTCTATAATGTTCCCTTTCACATGCTACATTTTCCTCCAAACTGACCTGCACGATATCTCCCATACACAGTATCCTATCTCCTGTACCCATACATGGGCCTGCCTCCATTCCTGAAGTGAATTCCCTTCAAAGCAGACTTCAAAGGTCACCTCCTACATGAGTTTTTCATGATCTCCCAGTTGTTAGTGTCTTCCCCAACTCCCAAATTACTTTGTATTTTTTTCTATGTTACAAGTGTGCATGTATTGTTTTCTCCTAATGTAAGTTTCTTGAGGGCACCATTTTAGTTTTATATCAGAATTCCCTGAGCCAGCACAGTACCTAGCACATAATAGGCACTTGATAAATGCTTGTAAAAAGCTGAAAAGTTAAAAAACAAAACTCAGCACTTCAGACTTGGGAGAATGGGTGAATGATGATGCCACAAAAAAGTGAAGCTGGGTGGAGGAGCACATTTGGGGAAAAGATTACTTAGCTTCATTGTAGAACATTTAAGTAGCCAGGCAGAGAGAGCTGTAGGTAGGACTGGCCCTCAGAAGAGAAGGGGGTCAGAGCTGTGGTTGGAGATATGTGAGTAATATACATCAATGAGAATTGAGATTGTCAAGGAAGAATTCAGAGGAAGGGGCCGGGGACAGCACCTTAGGGAGCACCTACCTTATGGATTGAGAAAAGCATAAAGAGCTAGTAAAGATGGGACAAGTCAGAATCTGACACCATGGAAAAGAGTCTCTTTCAGGAGGGAGTAGTCAATCAACTCAAAAGCAAGATAAAGTCAATGAAGATAAAAATGGGGGTGGGGAGAGAGGCCTTTGAATTGAGTGAATAGGAGGTCATAAGTGATATTTGAGAGCAGTGGAGGTGAAAGCCAGATGACAAAGGATTGCAGTGACTCCTTGGAGAAGATAGTGGGTGGTGAGGAAGTAGAAGCATTGGGTGTAGACAGATTTTTCCAGTTTAGCAATGAATGGGCTCTTCATAACACTCCTGAAGAGAGAGCTGAAAGGGACTAAGATTTCATTTTACAGGAAAATTTTCCATTTTCTTTATTTTACAGAGGAAAAAGCAGGCTTGGAAAACCTAGAAGAAATGTAGCAAGAGCTAAAAAGTGAACGAAATGCTCTTGAAGAAAGAATTGGAAAGAGAACAAATAGCTTAGATTTACTGAAGAAATGAAATCCTTAAAAACTAGAATAAATGGAAGAAATCAATGACTATGAGATAACAAATGTTAGAACAAAATCAAAAGATTTTTTAAAAAATAAAATGTGAGATCTGGTATTACAAACAAGTGGCTTAGGTCAAGAAGAGAAAATATAAAAATTATTGGAATCCCTGAAAACGCAATAAGGAAGGGAAAAAAAACTAGATGTAAAATTCAGTGTCATAAATGAAAACTGCCCAAATGTGTTAGAACCAGAAGTGAAGCTCCACAAATGTCATAGCCAAAATCCAGAGAGCTCTTACATCAAATAAATAAAACAAGCAGTTTTAAGTACCAAGGACTAATCAGGATCCCAGAGGAACAGACAGCTTCTATCACAAATGAGATGAGATCTTAGAATACAGTGTTCTAAAAAGTAAGTGATAGACTTAACATTACAAAGCTGAATATAATCCAAGGGGAGGGAAATAGATCTTTAATGGGATAGAAGATATTCAAGCATTTCTGATGAACAGACGAGAGCTGAGTATGAATCAGCAGAAAACCTAGAAAGGTAAAGTTGTGAGGAACTATATGAAGTAGGGCTAACATTCTAATGGGGGAGAAGTCTCCTTTCAGAATTCTTAAGGTCTTCAAAGGAAATTGAGGGAGTTATATAAGACAAATAGAGGTCCTGGGGGTGGATTGGTCCTCTTCTGAGGGTTTGAAGAGAGGACGGAAAAGTGAGGATAAGTGGAATACACATATGTACAGAAGGAAGGAAGGGGTAGAACTTGAAAAAATGTCATTTCTCATAATTAGAATTGTGAAAAGAATATGCAAACAGGAAGGAGTGGAGGAGTTGGCATCTGATGAATCTCACTCTTACAGAATAGGACAAAGGAGAACTGAATGCACACATGAGTTTCTCAAACAGGGGAAAAGCTGAGATGGGGACAGGGATGGGAATTAGGAGGGAGGATCATTCATCTCAGAGGGAAAAAAAAGTCCTGATCTTGAAGGGGGTAGTAAAAAAGTGGGGAGGAAGAATTGGAATCCACAAAGGGATGCCTTCGATCTCCTCTTCAACAATTGGGAAATGACTGAGCAAGTCATGGAATGTGAATGTAATGAAAATTATCGAGCAGTAATCAGTAACAAAAAATGGACTTCTCAGAATTCTGGGTAGGATAAATTGACTCAGGGGAAATTAAGTGGAGTCAGGACTTAAAACTTTTATCAGCACAATGACCAAGCATGTCAGCAGAGGACCAATGATGTAGTATATTCCCCATTTTCTGTTTAGAGAAGTGATGTACACAAAGTACAGAGACAGTTTTGTTCATTGCCACTGTAGATTCCTTTTATTTGACCATTATTTGCTACAAGTAGGGTTTTTTTTTGGGGGGGGAAGGAACCAAGGGGTAGATGGAGTAACAAAAGTAATTTTTTTTAAAAAAGTACTACTGAATCATTTATTTAAATGCACAGGAGGGAACAGAACAAGAAGAAGCACAAATAGAGCAGTTTCGAAAGTAACCTATAGAATTCATCATTAAAAAAAGATAGGAAATGGAGATTTATAGAATCTTTCATAGAAATTCTTTTTTCTGCTGTGTATAGAAATGCTTTTTTTTTTGCTTTGGATATTTAAGACTCAAAAAAGAAAAAAAAAAGGCTAGTGATTCGCTTCCAAAATCTTCATTCGTTACTCTGTAGGCTAAAGTGCCCTTGTGAATATTAAGCTAGCACTCCTGGAGCTGGCCCTACCTTTGCTCCCCACCACCTACCCTCCAATTTTTTTTTTTAAATTTGAGGCAAGTTAGTTTCTCACATGGTGGTTGGCGCTCAGTTCTTTCTCTGATTGGGGCAGAGGAACAAATACCTTCCTTCTTGGTCTGGCTCCTTCCCCAGAAAAGAGCAGGGTAAGTTACTTCAGTGGAAAGTGTCCTGATTATGAAGTCTTGGGGGAGGGGAGGTTGAGGAGGGAGGGCTTTTCCTGGGGCCGAAGCCGGGGGTCACGCCCCCTTTTGCCTCCGCCCTCCCACTCCCCTTTTGATTCGAGATTAATAAAGGGCGGCTGCTCTGGAACAGCGCAGAGAAGTGAGGAGCCGCCCCGGCGAGGGATAGGTAAGAGGAGTACGGGCATGGCGCCCTCTCCCTCCCCTCCGTTTTATGTCTTGGCCGGGAGACTGAGGCAGAGGGAGGGCGGGGCCTGGGAGAGCTCCGCCCGAGCCAGGGCTCGGGGGAAGAGGAGGGGAGCAGGAAGCGGGAAGAGCTGGGATTCCTCCAAAGTCGTGTCCCTGCCCGCCTTTCGTTTTATGCTCTTTGTGGCCGAGGGTGCTGGGGTCGGTCGGTCACTATGCGTGGTCCTGGTCCTGACCCTGGCCCAGCCCAACTCGCTTCAACGGGAAAGGGAAGGGGAGGCCGCCGGGGCTGTGTGCTGTCCCCGGTCAGTCGCTTTGTATCTGCGCCTCTTTGTCAAAAGGTTCAGTCCGGACCCAGCGTATTTAGAGATGTGACGGGCATGCCGGGGTATACAACCCTTGTGCTCTTCTTACTGGAGGTAGCCGAGAACGAGGAGGAAAACCCATCTGCGTGCCGGTGTACTGGCTCCCCATCCCCTGGTGACTCCCTCCCCTTCCTTTCTCAGTCTTTTGTCACCGAGGGTCCAGGGACCCGGTTCAAAAGAGGAAAGTTTTGAATCTCCCTTCTCAGCAGCATCCCCCGAAAATTCAAAAGACCTTTCTCCTTCCAGAGTTTGGATCATCCATCCCAACCAAGAACCATGGATCTCGCAACCCGGAACATAAAATTTTTGGTAAGGTCTAGACTAACACTGAGCTATCCTTTCAACTCTAAATGGGCATGGTGGGAATTTATCGAAGTTCTCTGTAGTGACCTGGCCCAGCCTGAGAAGGGCGCCCAGAAAAGTATGGGAAAACCTCTGGTTCTGACCTGGAACCCTTTGTCTCCCTGTCTCAAAGTGGATAGTCAGTACGCTTCTGCTGTTGCTGGTGATGCCAGGGGATGCAGGCAACTTCCCTACCTACTCTTGGAGAGATGCAGAGACCCAGGAGTGGCTAGTGTGTGATCAGTGCCCACCTGGCACTTTTGTGAAGCACCACTGCAGCTACAAGAGTCCCACAGTTTGCCAGCCATGCCCATCACTCCACTATACACAGTACTGGAACTACCTGGAGAAATGCCGATACTGCAATGTGTTCTGCGGGGAGCATGAAGAGGAAGTTCAGGCTTGCAACGCCACTCACAACCGAGCTTGCCGCTGCCAGTTGGGCTACTATGCCCATGCTGACTTCTGCATTGAGCACTCAGCCTGCCCTCCAGGCTCTGGTGTGGTCACTTTGGGTAGGTGGTGGTTTCTGTATCCCCAGAGCTGAGTCCTTTTCTAGGTACCCTAGATTCCCTTTTCCCACATCTCCTCTACCCTGGCTGGTCTGAGCTCTCTAGGTTCCCACAGGTCGTCACAATTGTTCACTTTACTCTGTGCTGGATTGGGGAGCTAGGGGGTGGAGAATGGTAGCACTGAGATGGTGGCAGGAGGGATGCCTGGAAGTTTCTGATTTGAAAATAACGTAAATGGACAGAACCCAGGAGAGAAACATCTATATCCCCTCCCTCACTTCATTCTCAGCTCACAGGCACTAGATCCAGCGCTGGGCCCGGGGGCAGGAAGATCTGAATTCAGATCTGCCTCAGACGCTTGACAGCTATGTGAGCCCTGAGCAAGTCATTTAATACCTCTTTGCTTCATTTGCATTTTCACTGTACAGTGAAGATAATAAAAGCACCTACCTGGCAGGGTTGTTGTGAGGATCAAATGAGATATTTGTAAAAAGGCACATGGCACATAGTAGGAATATAAAAATGCTTATCACCCTTCCCCTTCCTTCCCCTCCCTCCACCCCAGGGCTGCATAGATTTCTACCTGACACTGTTCCCTCTCCACAGGGACTCCAAACCAGAACACACAATGCCAGCCATGCCCCAAAGGCACATTTTCAGATAACAGCTCCAGCACAGAGAGGTGCCAGCCACATCGAAATTGCACCACCCTTGGCATGTTCCTCAATGTTCCTGGGACTTCATTCCATGATGCCATTTGCACACGCTGTTCTGGTTTCCTGAGCAGCACTCCTGAGCCAGGTGAGAACAGGGGCTTCCCCCATTCCTCTACAATCATCTACTTCCCTTTGAAAAACAGAAACCTGAGGGCATGAGATTCTCTCTGAATCAGCCTCCCTACTTGGCTTCTTCCATTCCATCACTCCCAAGAGGCCTGAGTCAGGGTGCAGCAGAACAACTAAAGTGGTTGGAGAAATTTACTCTCCATGGCTGGAGCCCAAGAAGCTGGAGGGATACAGGAGAAGCCTTAGAAGAGATGAAAGAAGGGGACAGCTAGGTTGTGCAGTGGATAGAGCACCAGCCCTGAAGTCAGGAGGACCCGAGTTCAAATGTGACCTCAGACCAGACACTTGACACTAGCTCTGTGACCCTGAGCAAGTCACTTAACCCCAATGCCTAAAAAGTAAAAAAGAGAGAGAGAGAGAGAGAGAGAGAGAGAGAGAGAGAGAGAGAGAGAGATGAAAGAATCCGGGAAGAACAATCCTCATCTTTGTCAAGGGTGGATGAAAGGCCTAGAAGCAGCTTTTGTAAAATCTCATTCCCTGCTAATATTTTAAGAGCAAGAAAGCTCTCCCCACCCCACTCCTCATCTCTGTCTCACTTACAGTTGAAAGGAGATTGGCCTTTTGAGGTCCCTGATCCTGAGACTGCGATCCACCTAAGCCTCACTTGAGAATACTACCTTTTAGTTGACTGTCCCAGCTCAGCCTTCAAACTAAGATTTACTCAGGGACAAAGAGGCACAGGGAGGTAAGGAGCAGGGGGTCCCCCTGTAATGTAGGACCTTTCCCTAAAAGGAGGGAGTGAGGACTTCAGCCTTGGCCTTTGGACATAACCCAGCCAGCAGGGATAGCAGGAGGTAGATCTTATCCTCTCTGGAATGGGAGGTGATGGAGAAAGGATCCTCCCATTCATCTGTCCTTAATCAATTACCCCCCACCCCCATATTTCCCACTGCAGGTGACAAGGAATGTGAACAGGCAGTGATTGACTTTGTGGCTTTCCAGAACATTTCACTAAAGAGACTGATGAGGCTGCAGCAGGCCCTGGAGGCCCCTGGTAGCTGGCATAGGCAATGGCCAGAGCCAGAGAGCCGGGCTGCTGTGCAGAAGGAGCTACTGCACAGGTTAACTGAACTCAGTGAGACCCAGGGATCTTCAGGCCTTCTACTACAGTTGCTACAGGCTCTTCGAAAAGCTAAGCTAACCACTTTGGAGAGGAATATTCAGAAGCGCTTCTTCCTTGACCTGAAAGACTAGACCACCTCCAACCCCCAGATGTGCCCAAGGTTCCATTATGCCAGCTCCTCCTCTGGGAAGCTAGACCCTGGAAGTGTTCTGGAGCTCAGACCATGGTGCAGTCTCTCCTCTGGAGAAAGCCAATAGGCAGTGTCCCTTCTGGGCCTCCTACTACTCTTTGGGCTTATTTATTTCACAGCTAGGTGGTACAGTGGATAGAGTGCTGGGCCTGGAGTCAGGAAGACTCATCTTCCTGAGTTCAAATCTGCCCTCAGACACTTACTACCTGTGTGACCCTGGGCAGGTCACTTAACCCTGTTCCACTCAGTTTCCTCATCTGGAAAATGATCTGGAAAAGGAAATGGCAAACTACTCCAGTATTTTTGCCAAGAAAACCCCAAATGGGGTCACGAAGTATCAGACATGACTGAACAATTTCCATCTCCATCAGCCCTCTATTTTCAGAGGTCCCAGTACCCCAACTTTACCAGGGTATACATGGAGCTAATGGGACTCGATAATTATCATGATGAAAAATTATTTTTTATAAAACTGTTTTGTAAGCCCACTTTTGTGCCCATTTCTAGTGCATAGCACAGTGCCTGGCACATGGTAGGGGATTAATAAATGTTTGTTGACTGAGTGACTGTTTCAAACCTCTGTCTTAAGCAGAAGGCAGTGAAAATCCACATCCCTAGTCGAACTTACCTCTCTTTGTAAGTTTTACCTGATTGATCCCACCAAGACTCTGATTCTCACTTATTCATGTACTTTTTTTGGAAGTGTTTTTAAATCTTTGTGAAAGTGGTTCCAATTTTCCCTCCTTGGGTTTCTCTAGCGTCCCAAGAATGGAGGAACCTGGTCTGCAGAGTTCCCTGAAGAAGCTCGAGCGTGTGCATGCGTGTGCACACACACACACACACACACATTTTTCACTGCACTAACAAGTCCCTGTTCTTCAATGGCTGTTATCCTGATAAAAGATGTAATACCTAAATGCACCATTGGACAGGGCAGGTCAAAAAGTTGTGTTAGAAAGTTGGTGAATTGGCTTGAAGACTCCCTCGAGGAAGTGGAGGTTACCTGTGATTCAGAAGAGAGGGGTATGGTCTGGTACAATCCTTTGTAAAAAGTAGGCACACAGGAAAATTACTGAAGAGGGAGTGGAAACCTCAACCCTGGAGGGTCCTTCCTTCTCTGCTTTGGCGCCATGTTGGGGGTGAGAGAGAAATGCTTATGGTCTTTCTTAAAGCCCTCCAGCTATATTCCATTTCCCTAGGCTTTGTTTCCTGGGAAGATGAGGAATCTGTCTGTGATCACTTACAGAGGACAACTCCCTCTCTAAGGCTGGCTCTTTCCATGTGAATTCCTATGCTCTGAGGACCCCAGAACTTCTCTGGTGGGGCTAGTGCAGGCCTGACACCTCTGCTTTTTTCCCCAGAGGCCCCAGCCCAGCCATTGAGGTATAGAGAGTAGTTTAGGAGAGACTGAGGTACAAAAGGAAGTGGAAAACTAAGGCACAGAGAGGAAACTGGGAGGTGGGAAGAAACTGAAGGAACATAGAAGGGAATGTTGGCCTTAAGGGCATAGTGAAAGGTGTGAGTTGTGAGAGAACTGAAAGAGGGAGAAAACTGAAGGACAGGCAGAGGAGGGGTGTAGTAGAAGGGGTTCAGTCCTAGGTGTTCAAGTGTAGAAAGGCGGAGTCTGAGGTTTTATCTCTTGCTGCTCCCTTTCTACCAAGTTCCTTTTCCTTCTGGTGATTTCTCTCCTGAACTACTCCTCAAGATTTCAAACTCCCCCTCAATCAACTGTACTCCACTTCCTAGAAAGAGAAAGAAAGGCCACCTTTTCTGGGATCATTCTTCTCTCTTTTGGCACATAATTCTTCTCTTCTTCCCCTCCCCCTCCCCCATTTTGGCTCTCATGTTCCCTCAGGACAAACATCTCCTGAAGGCAGTGGGTCTGGGCCTGAAGCCAACTGCCCAGTGCTTCTTAGGGGTGGGAGTACTGATAGATAAGGAAACAGGTTGGGGTCTGAGTGTGGGACCTGACCTTACCAGCATCACATCAGATTCTCATCCCATGTCTGTGCCAATGCTAGCTCCTCCCTCCCTGCCTTGGTGGTGAAATTAGGGGATTTCCTAGCACTGGAAGAAATAGCAATACCAGTTTGTAAGAGTCCTCTGCCCTTTTCAGAAACTTCTGCTTCCAGCAGGTCTTTCACCTTTGACCCCCTCCCAGAGTTCTCATTCCCACATGCTTTCTGGGAAACTATCGCTTTCCCTCAATAGCTCTTTTGTCCCAGACCTGGAGAAGGGGAGTCCAGAATGAGGCAAGAGATTTAGCTCTGGACAGAGGAGTAGCTGACTGACAGCACGGTCCACAGATAATGCCTCATTCCTTTCCTAGACCTTTCTCCTCAGACAGCCTAGGTCCTTCCTGCAGTTTGACTAAATATTTGAAAGTAAGACCTTGAGCTCCTTCGTGCCCTAGAGGCCTTGGAAGAATTGAAGTGGTCAGCTCAGGAGAAATCCTCATCCTGATGCCTGCCACAGGGAGGTGGGCAGTTGGTATCTTTCCGCAGTTTTCTTTTCCAATGACTCAATGTGACAGGTGATTCTCCCAAGCTGTAAATTTGCTTGCTGGAAAAATGTTTCCAAAACCCTTATCTTATGGATTAAAGCTGAACTCAACACAACAAGAAGTGTCAAGGGGGCAACAGGGAGGCAAGAGATGCAGCTCTGCTGGATCTCAGTTCCATGAATAACTGAATGGAAACACAGGTGGGCAGGGAATCAGTCTCCTAGGGAGAGGGGAAAGAGAAAATGCCCCACCCCCACTGGGTGTTTCTTAGCCTGGGGAAGCTAGGCGGCCTAATGGATAGAGTTCCTGACCTGAAGTCAGGAAGAGCCGAGTTCAAATCCAGCCCCAGACACTTACTAGCTGTGAGACCCTCAGCAAGTTACTTCATCCTGTTTGCCTCAGTTTCAACATTATCTTTCTCCCCAAATCCTCCTATCTTCCTGCCTTCCCTGTTGCTGACAAGGGTGTGACCATCTTTCCAGTCACCCAAGCACACAACCTAGGTGTCATCACCCCCAGCCTCAATATCTAATCTGCTGCTAAACCACATGAATACTACATTTGCTCTATCTTTGTGTGTGTATCTGTTGCTCCTCTAAAACAGCCACCATCCCAGTGTAGGCCCTTATCACTTCTGGCCTGGACTGTTACAACAGCCTCCTGGTTGGTCTCCCTACCATAAGTATCTCTCCCCACTCTGCTCTCAAATTGATCTTAACTAAAATACGTTTCTGACCATGTCAAGATAATATTCAATCAACTCCAGTGTTTCCCTGTTGCCTCCAAGAGCAAATATAAAATCATCCATTTGACATTCAAAGCCCTTCATAACCAGATCCCTTTCTACCTTTTACTGTCTTCTTACACCTTCATCTCCTACAACCTCTGCAACTCTGACTTCCTTGCACAAGACATTTCATCTCCCTGTTCTGTGCATTTGCATCGGCTCTCATGCCTAGGATTCTCTCCTTACTTCTGCTTCCCGGCTTCCTTTAAATCTCAGCTAAAATCCCACCTTCTGTAAAAGACATCAAACTTATTTTATATACGTAGTTTGCAGATATAGTTGTTTGGATGTTGTTTTTCTCCCATTAGATAGCTGGAACAGTTTTTACCTTTTTTTAAATACTCAGTGCTTAGCAGAGTGTATGACATAGTAGGTACTTAAATGCTTTTTGAATTGAGATAGGAAAGAGTTCCAGGAACTTCCCTTCACACCCTACACCTCTTTGAGCTGGGAACCAAAGGCACACACCATTGAGACTAGTGCTTAGGAGAAAAATCATTTGCAAAAAATTCAAATAAGCAACTCTACTGTATTTAGGAAGCCTGGCACAACCCCCTACCCAGGAAGGAACAGAACAGCTCATATTCCTGATCAGATTTTTATTTTTCCAAACACAGAGAATCACTGGGGATTAAAGACAATTGGTTCACCTTGAGAGTGGTGGCCTACAACCCTGACAATCAGTGGCCAGACCCCTGCCTGGTTAATGGTCAAGATGATGGTGTCAGTGGGCAGACAGAATATGGCTCTGTGACCACAAGCACTTAAGCATAAGGCTGGACAAATAAGCATCCGGCCAAACTTCTGCTAAATACTGCTGGGGAATGGGTATCAGTACATTGGGAACCATCACTGATCCTTCAATCCCCAAGTCAAGAGCTGCTGCTGTGTGAAAGAACTAAATCCTCAAAGCTACTAGGGTCATATCTTTTTTCAATTTTTTTCTAATCCAGTTACAGTTGTCAGGGTGACTATGAACAAGAAGCTATAGCTGCGAGGGCCTCAGGGCAAAGAGGCTCCATCAAGTACTCTAAAAGAGTCCAAGCTTTCATAAATTAGAACAGGACCAAAACAGGGGATAGAGAGTTCCAACCCAGCAGCTGCAAAGGCTAGGCTGGAATTTCCAAAGAAGAGAGGATGTTTATGCTGTGGAGTTGCTATTTGGTTTGGATTAGTCCAAGAATAAAAGAGCGGGCTGGGATAAGTGGCAAGGGGCAGAATCCTAAGATATTTGGGGGAAAAGTAGAAAGTCCTCAGCAACAGCCAAATTAGAGAGGCTTCTCCACTGAGTCACAAGCCTCATTTTACCAAAGCAAGGAGGTATTTAATGGGAAACATGGATATTTAGACTTTGGTAGAAGGTAGAGTTTTCACCCAGTCATGTTTCAGAACGACAAGCCTCAAACTGTCATCTCTTTGGCCAAAGCAAACAAATGAGAAGCACTTTCCTCTGATCTCGAAAGGTCCTGATTCTGAAGCCTGATCCTGACCCTAACTCTAATGCTGACCCTCTTTTAATCCACATTTAGCTGGAGCTGCTGAGCCATACCACTACTGGACTGCCTATAGGAACCAAATCTATAGGAATCCTTTGGATTTCTGGAGCAGCGGGATTTGGAGTATGGAGGATAGAGCAGATACAATGCTTCACAGATCTCTCTAACCTCAACTGAACCGCTGGCCTTGCTTCTTTCTTATGGATCAGAAGCCCCACAGAACATATCCTATCCCAATCCCTCCCAACTCACCCAGGGTTCACTGTACGAGAAAGAAGAAAGGCAGCACATTTAACTTTGCCAGATTTTTTATAAAGGGGATTTCTGCACAAGCATATTCTCTTGTTACCATGTAACACGAAGAACGTGATGTTCCTGCAGGGGCAAACATGACCTAAAGACAAACATTAAGTATGTGAACTCCTCCCTCAAAGACAAGATAAAAGAACAAATCCTACTTTGGTTTTTGGAGTGTGCTTACTTTCAATCTGGGCAGCTTTCTCCCCGCTCAGGATCTCAAAGCTCTCAGTGAACATTAACTCTCTCATCACCAATCCGCAAAGAAGTAACAGGTAACTGGCCCTCCCTGGGCCAGATCTTAATCCCCTCTATGAAAGATAAACTTTGTATCAGAGGGAATTTGTCCAAGATCATGCAGGGATGTTAGAGGATCTCAGAACCATGTTTCTTTTCCTCTGACTCAGTTCAAGAAGTAGCAGCTACATAGGTTGCTCAATTAGCATCAGGACTGGAGGGAAATGTTCAGTTCAAAATCCTTAAACTGAAAGGGAAGGGAAGCAGGTAAAGTTTTGCTTCTTCCTGATTCTATACGCTAACTTTTCTAAATTAAAAAGTAAAGGAGCATATTGCCTGAGGCTTAGAGATGTGCTTCTCTTGCACTGGATTCTAAAGCCACAAGAGAAACTGACTCTAGTGCATAATAAAGAGTAGGCTGGGGTTTGGATTGGCTTACATTCAGACATACTTCATACCTGTAGCTTGCACATTGCCCAACAGGTCCATTGTGGCCAAGGCCATATCCTGGAAGGACTGCCCACCCCTTTACTTTACCCTATAAATGGTCTCCATGTGGCAAGAATAAATTATGAGAGAATGTTGCCTGAAATCTACCCGGGCATAATACTGACCCTGTCTAATGCACAACTTAGTATGCAGGCTACAAAGGCAGAGAACCCACAAAGTAGGAAGCAAGAGCCTACGATGCCTTGTCCTTGGCTTTCCTATATTAGCCCTCTTTCTGCCCCTTTTTGGGAGGCTAAAATCAGCTGTGATAAAGGCTACCAATAGCATTACGCTACTTGCTCATCTTCTCTATTCAAGCTGCCACATAAGTCTAGCCTGAGAAGAAAGAAAAATTTCTCCCTAAGTACCTGCCTCCCTTCCATTTCCCTGCAGGCATTCTAAGAGTGACACCCAAGTGTTTGGCTTCTCAGCTGGACCTGGAAGTGTCAGAGAAGGGCAGCTTTGTGGTTCTGTCACTGCTAACACAAGTTCTAGGGAAGTGGGTCCAGAAGTGATCAGCTCTTATGCCACCCGCTAGCTGCCCACGCCTTCTTATAACAGGCTCTAAGGGATCACACTATCCTCCAGAGTAAAGTCAAACCCCTCAGAATGAGAAAAGCATAAACAACAGGAAAACAGGGAAGCTGGCCAACCTAGGCTGATTCTAGTTGGCACTACTGATCCTCAGCTACTCCGGGTCTTACAAAGATAAACTGACAGACACTCAAGGTCAGTCAGCTGGCTAGGACAGCCTTCCACCTAAGGTTTCTATGAAACTCTAGGAAGGATTTCCTATCTCTCATTGCCTCTGCTGTGGGCAATACTGCAATTTGGCCAATGACCTGGATTATCTGGAGCTGATTTCTATGGGGAAATAGCCAAGGCTGCTCTTCAACAACACTTAGAACTCCGGGAAAACCCCACAACCATTTATGGCTTATGAGCCTGCGCCTGGGCCAGGTTTGAACAAGTTATTTCAACTACCTATTCTGGACCCCAGGGCTGGGGCCCTAGAAGCCAAAGCACGATTAAGAGTCAAATGCTGTCAGAGGTGAGCAGGTGGTGTCTGCTGGAAAAGAAGCTGCAAAGAAGTGTCAACTGTTTTGGCTCAAAGTATCCCTTGGAGCCCATTTTTTGTATATCACCTAGTACAGCTGCTATGAGCAGCAAAAAAATGTCACCTCAAGCAGTGTGGGGCCTCACAACGAGGGTCACCTCTGCCTCGATTGCAGTGTTAGTGGTTCGTCATCCTGTGAGAGGCTGGGGAGACAAGCGCAGGCCGTTACCCTCAGGAAGGGGCAATGGGGAAGTTATTAGAAAACACAAGGATTTAGAGCCAAAGGACAGCCGCTCCAGCCAGAACTCGGCCAAATAAACCCAAGAAAACTAGAGTTTCAGGGCAGATGAGATCCACTGCCTTACATGCCTATCACAACCTCTCATCAACACTCACACCAGGGACTAAACTGAGCCAGTTTTTCATGTTTGGTCTTAAGAGATGAAGGACTAAATTTAGGTCATTAACCAAAAAAACACCAGCTCCCTTGAGCAACTGAGGAGTATCCAGCCACACCTCATGGTGGTGTGGGTAAAGTCACTCATGACACCTGACAGTGCCTATGCTTCAGGTGAGGTGTTGGTCCTACCATTCCCCATTCAGGAGGGGCTTGTGTCTGGTCATAGAGAACACCCTCCCCTTTTCCCTCTCCAACCACCAGGTAGAATCCTCAAGATGATTTTTTTTTGGATGGAGATAAAAGTTTGTCTTAGGAAAAAACATAAACAAAATAAAAAATCCAAATGAAAAGAATCCAACTGATGACAAGGTCGTGGCCCTGTTCCCTGGACAAGGAGGGTGGGTGGAATCTGCGCTGGGGGCAGCCGTCCAAGCACAGCAGCAGTGCTACTCCGACCTTACGTGATGTCCTTCTGCCGTGGAGGTCGGTGGATATTCCTCACGACACACTTCACCATCCACTCGATGCCCTCATTCACCCCTTTGCTGAGAAAACACCAGATGTGAGGCAGTGGGTCCCCACAGTTCTTCAAAAGATGTGGGAGATGGGGAAAAATGGGAGTGGCCCTGGAGATGACTCCATGGTCTTTGAAGACACGCCTGGGATAGCTCACAGTCAAAAAGAGATAGTGGCCACAGCTACAAGCTCCCTCTACAGACCTCATTCATGTTTACACATGACCGCACCAGACAGGATTGGACCATATTTCCTTCCTGCCAAGATTACAAACATATCCTTGTTGACTCTCTATCCATTAAGGACTAGCAGCACCTAGCTCCTGATGCTGAGCCAGTTCTGCCACATAAGTCTCTGGTCCTTCTCCTCATAAAGCCATTTATATGTGGTAGCAACAGCTGCAGGCATGTAGAAATACCCTGGATACTAAGATGCTAAGAATACAAATTCTTCTCTGGTCACTGACAGTGCCTAGGGTCTAAGCCATGAAAAAAACTGATACTTTGGGATCTTGTTAGGCCTGGTGAAAATGGTCTACTGGCATGGCAGAGGGTATGGTTAGGAAATACCCACTGGTAAGGCTGCTATGCCTCCCCACACTTACCCTGTGAGAGCTGAGCAAGCCTGTGTCAGGCAGTCTCTCTTTCCAATTTTATTAATGCAATCACTGAATGCGGTCTTGATGTCAGGAATGGATAAGCAGGTCTGATGAGAAAGGAAAATGACAGAAATGTTAAAAAGCTGGTCTTTTGATCGCAGCAGCCTCAGGGATGCCAACTGATTTGTCCTCAGACACTTGGTGACAGCTGGGAATGATGTGGCCACCTTTTAGAAGAATGTATCCAAAAGAAAGGGAAAGTTACAAGGTCAACCTAGTGCTTATTGAATACCTAACTTATCTCTGGCCTCTCTTTTCATTTATTCTGGGTCAGCAGGGCACAGCAGTCACTCATCTTTAAAATGGAACCATTTAACTTCTCTGCCTGTGGCCCTCCACACAAATGGCAAATGGTAAAGGCAGGACCCATATGCACTATAAGAACAGCTTATCTCATTTCATTCATCAACCAGAATGCCACCCATTTTCCAGGTGAGCATCCCTTTATTTCAGGTGTTGGGTGTCCCTCTTCATTCATAAGGCCCTGGCCCAAGGATCCTTCCTCCTCTCCAACAGGTAAAGAAGGGATTCTGGGCTGCATTCTGGGTTTATGTAAACATTTTGAAAACATCACATTGTCCCCATGATACTCTATAGTAAGGTTTAAAGAAAGGGAAAAGGCAAGGAAACACAGCAGGTAATTTAGAAAGGGATGAGATAAGTACAGCTACCAGCCTAGACCTCTCCAGCTGTCAATAACAGCTCAGCCTCACCATCAGGGAATCTCTTGAGACCTGATAATGGCAGGAGTGAGGGACTCATAGCTAATAAACAAAGCCAGGCCATTCTCCAAAGGAGACAAAAAAGGAGAGGAAAGTGGGGGAAGGGGAAAAAGGAGATTCAAAGAAAAAAGACCTAACAGAAAAGGCATCAATTGTGGAAACCAAGAAAAATCAAACTCCTTTATAAACACTTGCCAAAACAAATTGCTTAACGCTCTCTAAAGGTTCATTTGAGACCTCGTGCATAAAAGGGGCTATTAAAACCTATTCCCAGAACAATCTTCTCTCAAGAAGCTTCACTGTTTAACAGACTTGAACTCTTCCTTACGTTATCTCCAGGGGATAAGAGATAAACCCTCCCTTTCAAAGATGAAGAAACTAAGGCAAAGATATTAAGGGAGTTGTGCAAGAAGGTCACATGACAAGCCAGAAAGAGCTACATATAGAATTCAAGACATAATCTTCCCATTTTACGACTCCCTTCTAGCATCTGCTCTTCCTCCAGTTCTGACAGAATTCAGCTCAGTCCTGCTGCCAATACTTCCCCTCTCCCCATTCCTTGACCCTCCCCCCACCAAAGAACTGACCACCTATTTACAACAAGCTGTAATGGGAACTTACATAAGAAGCAAGGGGCTGAAACTCAGATAGGAATGGGTGGGTAGACAATAAATAACATCTGACTAGCCCTAAGTGATGTTCGTGGGATCCTCCAGCATTAGTTTACTACCTCATAAAACTTATGAGATTCTTTGAAGTTTCCCACCATCCCAAAAAGTGGCGAAATAAATATAAGACCCAGAAAAATGCTAAAAAAAAATTTTACTTTATGTAGTCAGAGCAAATGAAGATAATAAAACCATATTTCAGCCATAAAAATTGAGGGGATTGAGAGATATGTATACCATGACAACCTCTCAAATACCCAACAAATGAGTTCCTAGCCACTACTTTTTTCCCCCAGCTTTCAGCAGAATTCTGTAAAACAGCAGAAGGTCTGAGGCTAATCTCCTGTTTTTAGGAAGGGCACCAAGGTAGGAAGCTCTAGTACAATCAACTCTGGAAGGGTCTTCCTTTCATTTTCATGCAGTCATTTATCTAACCACTTGGGCACAGAAATGTTTTTCTTCTCCTATGCAGAAATTTCATTCCTTTCTCTGGAAACATCTTTTCTTTGTCACAATGAATTTAAGTTAAAGGGACAAAAAGAAACACAACTGAAGGTCACTTTGGAGGCAGAAGGAGGGACTGAGGAGAAGCTACTCATCACTTAATACTGCACAGATGCTTGGAAGACAGGTGACTGAAACAAAGCCCTGCTTCCAGGAGATACCCCTGCTGCGTCAGTCTGTTCCAAGGCTCACTAACATAGGACTCTGGAAATTATACAGCATAGAGGCAAGCCAGCAGGCTCGACCTAGCTGGTGCTTAGAGGGAAACAGAATTCTAGGAAGAAGCCAGGAAATGAAGATTGACCCTTAACCAGAGATAACCAGTCTGTTAGCCATCCCCCAGGAGATTTTTATAAAACACACAGGTCAAGAAAAAGAAATATTCTTCTGATATTCTGTGATCCTATGGTATGTACTGGCCCCAGGATGGCTGCTATTCCCCAAGGCCAGACATTTGATCACAATGAATCATAAAAGGCTAAAACTTTAACTAAAGGACAAAAATGAGACAAGAAACCAGTCCAGTATTTACAAACAAAATGATCTTGGGAAAGCAGCTTTCTGGACTCCCTAACATCTAAAGAGAAAAATCTTGGTATATTTAAAAGTCATTATACAAGCAAGCAGCCATCAACAATGAAGAATGAGTCAAGGACCAACATTCACAACAGGCCAACAACTGAAACACATGGGGCACATATTCCTATTCCTTTCTGCCCATGGGTAGGGCTCACTAGAGATAAGAATAGCAGGGAGGAGGAGAAAGGAAGGCCAAGGAAAATAGAGATTTCAAAGGATCACAGATTTAGAGTTGGGGAAGACCTCAGAGATCATCTGAGACAACTAACTCTCTCCTTTTACAGATTAAAAAACTGAGGCCCAAAATTAAGAGAGTTTCTCAAGTTCACACAAATAGTAACAGAGTGGCTCTTGAACCCATGTCTTCTGACTACATATCTCATGCTCCTTCTACTATACCTCCACCATGCTACTGCTGGTCCACAGTGAACTCTACTCCTCCAAACAATAATAGGCTCCAGATGTGACTGGTAACAGGATGAATCAGGGTAGTGCCCTACCAGCTCCTCTTCCTCCAGAGACTTACTTGGGAGGCTAAGATAACTTTTTTTTTCAGTTTCCCTTTCTCTTCCATACTCCCTTTATCGCTTGGAGGTAGGTTAAAGCTTAATGAACATTCAACCTAAAGCAGTACATATAAGAATAAAGCATTTCTGTTAATGACAACAGGTCCTAATCTAATTTCCTTCACCAATTTGTAAATCTTCCTTCTGAAGACCTTTGCAAGATCTTCTTAAATCCAGTCTTCTCCAGAACTCTTGCCTCAGGGACGTTGAGGTAGTTATTTCCTCCAGCCCTAGTCCATCTAAGAAACCACAATGGCATTGCTGGGGGGGGGGGAGAAATTCACTTTAATCCCTTCAACACCAATAGAAAGATAAGTCCCAGTAAAATATCAGCTTCTGGAGGAGGGCAGGACCATCTCTATGTCAAATAGCCTACTTCTAGGTACCTGTTGGTGAAAGTCCTAGGCCCAAAAGTGAGGCAGAAATATAGAGTGTGAATTAATTTAGTGTATTAGAGGATGGAGGTAGCATGAAAGAAGAATGGGATTTATACACATTAGTAAGTATGGATTCATCCTTTTTCTCAACAGTGTCTTACGATAATGTCAATCTGCCTCCCTCCAGTGGGCAGAACACAGTCCTACATCTATGTGGAGGTCAGAGAGAAGGGATCATCAGGTGACTCTCAAAAGGAAATCTCAGCTTAACTAATGACTTGAAACTCCTCAAAAACAAAAAGTTCTGCAGCTTCAAGTGTACATCTTCCAGATCCTCAGATGTAATGAAAAAGGGAAAGATGAGGACAACAGTCCCAGTGATGAAGTAATGAAAAGAAACTGGGTTCTGAAGCACAGAGGGAAGGAGCTTAAAAAGACGATTATTTTTTACCATAGCAAATTTAACAGCATTAAGCAGATGGAGAGTCAAAACCAGTCACAGATTAGTGGCCCTTAAGCACACTATTTTGACACAATATTGGGCAGCAGAGGAACTAAAGAACTACAGGATCCAAAGTCCTGGAAGACATACTACCAAAGAAAAGGGCCTTCAACCTAAAGGGGTAAGTCATATGGAGAGGACTGGTAGGGTTTGGGAACTTCACACAAAAAGTCTCAGATACAGACTACCACAGACACATTTCCTTGGGTCCTGAGCATAGTAGGTACATACAACTCAAACTAAAATATTATCTATGCCAACCTATAAGACAAAAGATTTCCCACCTTCACTTGCCTCTGGGGTTCAGAAAAGTATTAAGTCCAGTTTTATCAAAGAAAGCAATCTAGGACTGAGTAAGGAGCCAGTGATCTCACCTCTACATCCTGCTTATTGGCCAGGACCAAGATAGGGACCCCCTCCAGGGCTTCACTGGTGATCATTTTTTCTGGTAGAAATAAAAATGATGAGTGATGAGCTCCCCCTGAGATAGAGGCATTAAGCTTTGTTAGGAATTTCATTTTCAAGACTCAGATAAACAGAATGGGTTCTTTTCATGGTCACAGTACCCAAATGAGTGGTCTCTACTTCATGCCTTCACCTCTTCACAACCTACTGTCCTGTCAAGTTCTCCAATATGGCTTTCGCCCCCATTAACTTACAAAACAGCCCTCCTTAAAGGTCACCAATGACTACCTAATCATCACATGCAGTGGATTTTTCCTCAGGCCTCATTCCATCCTCTTTGACCTATCTGCAAAACTACTGAAATTTCCTTCCTGAAACTCTGTTTCCTCATCTTTAATCATGCTGCACAACATTGGTTCTCCTTCCATCACTCTGATCTCTTCTTATTTTGCTGTCTCCTCCTCCTCTCAATTCCCTCAATTGGGCTACTCCCCAATATTGTGTCCTTGCCTCTCCTCTCTCTTCAGACCTTCCTCCAAAAGTTCTCATGCACTGTCACCTCCTTGCAGAATACTTCCAAATTTATGCGTCTAGTCCAAACCTCTATCCTGACCTTCAAACTACCATTTGCATCTACTTGCTGGAAATTTCTACCTGTATATCTTGGCTGGCACTTCAAATAAGTATGCTTAAGACTGTACTCACTTGCCCCACTTCTCTCATTAAAGGGTCTTTCTTACTGCTGTACTTGATTCCGTATTAGAATCACTCTCTCCTAATCATCCAAGATCAAAATCTTATAATCACATTTGAAGATTCTCTCTTTCTCACACCCCATACCCAGTCAGATGCTAAGGCCTCTCAAATTTTCCTTTAAAATACTTTTCAAATCCATTCCTTCTATTCCTATTGCTGCTGCTGCTACAGCTTAGGTCCTTATTACAATAGCCTCCTTGCCAACAGTCTCTCTCCACTCAAATCTATACTACTTCTATGGAAAAAGCAACAGTCTGTGAATCAGAAGACTTAGGGTTGAATCTCACCCTTCTAGCTGGGAAAAAGCCTAGGCAAATCAATTCACCTTTCTGAGTTTGTTTCTTCATCTGTAAAATAGATACTTGCACTACCTACTCCAAAGGAATAGTTAAAGGAACTTCATAGACCTTAAAGCACTATGTGAACAATAGTTCTTCTTAGAGCACAACTCTGATGGACTAAATAAAATCTAAACTCCTCAGTAATCTAATATTCAAGATCCTTCACAATCTGGCCTCAGATTATTTTTGCAGCCTTATTTCCCACTTATTCCCTTACACAAATTTCATGTTCCAGCCAAAAAAGACTGCTCGCTTCTTCCCAGATCTGATTTGTATGTTTTTTTTTCTCAAATGTTTCTCACAGCTTAGAATGGCCCTCCTCCTCTCATTTCCATTTATAGAAATTCTACCCATTTTTTGAGGCCCAGTTCAAATGCTACTTCTCCGGAGCCTTCTCTGAACCTTCCTTCATCTAGCACTTTGCAGGTATTACTAATAAAGTACTTATATAATGCCTTGCATGTGGTTATTTGAGCTCATGCCCTATGTCCCTTACTAAACTCTACCTTATCTAGTACAGAAATCATGTCTCATTTATTTTTGCATTTGCCATGCCAAGTCTTCCTGGCAGACTTGAATATAGCAGGCACAAAACAAATGATGTTTGAATGAACAAAACCAAGGACCTCTTAGGTCAAAACCATAACTTACCAAATGCTCTCTTGGTTTCTGAGAGTCGCTCCTCATCGGTAGAATCAATGACATAGATGACCCCATGGGACTCAGCATAGTACTAGAATGACAGTAGAAGGGTTAATATCCAGAAGTAGCTTCACTATATTCAGAGCACACTTTTTTAAAAAAAAAATATTTAAAAAATTTATTTTTAGTTTTCAACATTCACTTAGACAAGATTGTGAGCTCCAATTTTCTCTCCATCTCACCCCTGCCCCACCCCAATGCGGCATGCATTCTGAATACCTGTTCCCTTAAACTGACCTCCCTTCTATCACCACCTCCTTCTCTTATTCCCTTCCCCTTCTATTTTCCTGTAGGGCAGGATTTCTATACCCCATTGCCTGTATATCTTATATATGCAAATAAAAACAATTTAACATTTGTTTTTAAAACTTTGGGTTCCAAATTCTCTCCCTTCCTCCCTTCCCACCCACCCTCACTGAAAAGGCAAGCAACTTGATACAGGTTATATGTGTGCAGTCATGCAAAACACTTCCACAGTAGTTGTGAAACTAACCATATTTTGTGGAAAATATAGTTGTGAAAAACTAACTATATTTCCCTTCATCCTATCCTACCCTCTGTTTATTCTATTCTCTCTCTTGACCCTGCCCCTCCTCAGAAGTGTTTGCTTCTGATTACCCACCTCCCCTAATCTGCCCTCCCTTCTATCATACCTCCCCGCCATCCGAGCACATTTCAAAGATCAAAGAGAGAAAGAGAGAGGTGACAAACTGCTGGCACAGGGCCTGGTATAAACAGGATTTTCTAAATTACTGTGATTGTCAGTTTTGCTTATTCTGAAGTGGAGATAGTTCATGGTATAAGAGAGCAGGCAATGGGCAAACCTCCATGTAGGAAATGCTCTTCCTAGCCTAAAAGAAAATAATTCAAAAGGGCTTTTCATGCATTGTTTTATTCTACTTCCTATGTGACACTGGGTAGAAGTCTCGGGACATATAAGTCCAAAATGCTTAATGCTTTGAAATGGGCCAGATAACCTAGTCTTGGCTAACAAAATAATGAGAAATCTTAACTGAATCCTTCCTTTGCAATCCAGTGTTGGTTGAGGCTGACAGAAAAATGGTCTTCTTATCAGCCTGGGAAAAAGCTTCTCTTTCAGGGAAATAACCATTATTGTAAATTGACTGGAATTTTTTTGGCAGGATGGTCAGATTACGGGGGATATTTTGGGAAATATCAGAGCAAGAAACAGCTACTAATAGGCACAGATTGGAAACTGGCATCTGGAAACTCGAGCTTCTAACCACATGGACAAAAAAATACTAATAATATATTTGAGCAGGTAGATTTCTAGGAGTTATTTGTAAAGCTTCTTCCTATAAGAAGTCAAAACATTCATATTGTAAGTTATGGAACAGTAAAATTACCAGAGGACTACCCCAATAGTCTACCTAGCTCAGTATCAGGTTTGTGATGGGGCTACCCAAGGCCCATAGGATTTCTAAGAATTTTGTGGAACTTTAAGCATGAGCACAAGCCTGGAAAAAAAAAAAAGAAACAGTTCCTTTCTTACCTTGTCCCAGAGAGACTGCAATTCCTCTTGCCCTCCTAAATCCCAGAACATAAGTCGAGCTTTGCCCACATCAATAGTACCAACTTCAAGGGAAGAAGAAGGGGGAAGAAAAGAGAAAATAAAGGTAAGATACAAGATTCCAGTCACAGAAATTTCATTTTCCCCAGTCTTCTCATCTGGAAGTGAAGCAAAATAACTTCACATTACTCTATAGAGTAGCACCACTGAGATAAGGAAGATACTTTGTACTTAACTCTTCAGAAATTCAGTTTTTTTACTTTACCACACAAGAATATCAATGAATAATCTGCTACTCCCTGGCTATCTCACCTAGGTCACCATAAAGTACTATATCTATTTGTTTTCCTGATTCTGTAACCCAAAAAGATCCACTTACTATTCAGTCCCACTGTAGTGGTGATTTTGGATAAACTCATCCCTTTGTAGTTTCTGTTAAATCGGGTTTTCGTTTGCTCCAGGAAAGTCTAGGTAGATAGAAAAACAAACAAAAATGCAAGTTTAAAATTGTCCAAAATGGAACAGGCTGCCTCAGGAATATGAGTTCTCTATCACTGGAAATCTTCAAGAAGAAGCTGAATGACACTTGTTAGGGATTTTGTTGATGGGATTCATGATTTCAGAAAGGGCTGGCTAGATAAGCTGAGCTCATTTTCAGCTCCAAAATTCTGTTAGTTTCTACAACCCAGAAGTGTGCCATAGACAGCTCCTACCAACTCATGAGAGCTGACTATTAAATTTTCAGTGACTATACCTCAGAAATACTACAATAAAATCTTGATTTATTGTTTTGTTGATTGCCTAGGCTTAAGAAAATGATGAAGGAAATGTTAAGAATGCATTTTAAACATAAAAGTGTGTTGTATGAACATTTTTTCCCCTTGAGAGCTATTACACACTTACTATCACACCTCTGCTATAATAACTGTCTCTCCTTCCCCTTTCTAAAATGCTTGTTTCTTACAATTACTTACAATAACCTTCTCTCAGACCTACAACTGATCAGGTGGAATTTTACTGAATGAAAAAAAAATGTAGCAAAATAAATTTTATGAATAACAATTGAGGTTCCCAAAAAAGAAACTACCTACCGTCTTTCCTGCATTGTCCAACCCCAGGATTAGAATGCAGTATTCATCTCTCCGGAACATGTATTTATAAAGCCCTGACAGGAGTGTATACATTCTGCTCCTGTAAAGTACAAGAAACTAGGAATCACTGGGGAATACCCCATTCAGGACTCTACTCCTTACAGCATCTTCCTTGTTTCCTTCACTACAACAACAATAAACAACAATAGATAAAACAAACTTGAGAGTCAGAAGGGCCAAAATCCTATTCCATGCTTTTTGCTGTGTAACTTTGAGAAAAATCAACCTCTTCTCAGTCATTTTCCTAATTGGCAAAATGAGTATTATACCAGAGACTTATTTACTCTCTAGAAATGTTGTAAAGATTAGATTCTGCCTGAAAAACTTTAAGCTTTTGGGAAAAATTAGAGATAACTATGTTACAATACTACTACACTCATCCTACTGCTCTTTTTATGTGACTGAAAAAGTTTCCCCAAAGACAATGGTATATATCAGAGTAAGTTTCTGCTTTCTTTTTTATGCAGTGAGCTAGGCTGAGTGCTTCTCAGCAGGCTAATTGGGCCTTTTAACTTTTCCCAGCATAAGGGCCTACAGCTGAAAATACCCAGGGACCAAAGTTGCACAGCACATCAAACTCTTTTACAGGGGCCACTATCATTCACCTACATAGAGTCTTATCCTTTTCTCTCAAGCCACTATAACCCAGAGATACTGAGCTTTCAAGGGTTGTGGGAAATAAATTTGGGGGCTCATAAATTCCCATAACTTGTACTCCATGGGCCAAACCCACACCTCCACCACAGCCAACAAAAACAAGACTAATTTTTCACCAAGGGAACCATCTTCATTACTGCTGACTTGCAGGCTCAGCTAGCAGGTAAAGAGAACAGTATTAGTTTTCAAATCATGGTTTGGAACACAAGTATAGGATAGGATAGACCTACTGCCTCGGTAGTAGGATAAAAGACATTCTATCAGTAGGCAGACCAACTGATCTGGACACTCATACAAAGAGGGCAGCGCAGACTCACTAGATCTGAGGTTAGATAGCTTATAAATGAAACTGGGGTGGGACACAGAGTAGGACTCTATGGCTCAGAAAAAGGGCAACCTATCAATTGGGGAATGACTGAATAAGTTGTGATGGAATGCTACTGTGCTATAAGAAATAAGGAGGGGCATGATTTCAGAAAAACCTGGGAAGACTTATGTGAAATGCATATATGAAATGAGGAGAACCAGGAGAACAATGTACACAGTAACACAATATTGGGGCAGCTAGTCCACAGTGGGTAGAGGGCTGGGCCTGAAGTCAGAGGAATACCAGAGTTCAAATCCAGCCTCAGGCACTTACTAGCTGTGTGACCCTACGGAAGTCACTTAATCCTGTTTCCCTCAGTTTCTTCATCTGTAAAATGAGCTGGAGAAGGAAATGGCAAACCACTTCAGTATCTTTGCCAGGAACCCCAAACAGGGTCAAGAAGAGTCAGACAAAACTGAAAAGACTGAACAACAACAAATACAAACAGCAGCAATACTGTAATAATGATCAACTGTGAACGACTCAGCTACTCTGATCAATACAATGATTCAAGGCAATTTCAAAGGATTTGTGATGAAAAATGCCGTCCATCTCCAGAGACAGAACTGATGAACTGAGTGAATACTGGAGCATACTTTTTTCACTTTATTTTTCTTCCCTTCTTTTTGGTGGTGGTGGTGGTAGAGGGCAACGTAGGTGATACGGAAATTTTAAAAAAAGGGGCAACGCAGTTTTCTATTAACAGGAAAGCTCTACTGGCTCAAAAGTCTGGCAGAGAACGATGTATTCCCATTAGCTCAGATGGAGCAACGTCCTCGGAAGAAGGGGCAGTGACTCCACGGTCTCTAAGATGGGGAGCGAGGGGGCAGCACAGGGACACAGGTTCAGAAGAGGCGGGGAAGGGCAGGACAAACCCACCGACTCGGAAGTCGGAGGAGGGGACCGTGTAGTCAAGTAGAGAAGAGGGGCCCTGAGCGTCACCTAGGAAACTAGGTCCTATGGCCCAGCTTCGGCCTGTGCCAGGAAGGGAGGGTCGTGCCTGAGCTTGAGAGTGACCCATGGGCTTCCTCTTCGTCTCCAGGGAGAGGCCGGCTCCGGCCAAAGGGCCCTCCCCGCAGGGGGAACTGTCTGGTCCGGCCTCAAACTCCTAGGTCAGCGGCTCGGGGACTTCCACAAGGAACGTGGAGCCCGTGAGGAAGCAACAGGGAACGGGCTGCGGGGCTCCTACCTGCGGCCTAGCGCCTCAGAGACGGAGCCGGAGCGACTGCTACTACAGCTACTAGGGCCGGAAGAGACCCTACCGGGCCACTACCTCTACGGCCAGCAAGAGTCGACCTTTCTCGCTCACCCCGCCGCTATGACTTCTGGGACATAGAGTCCACACCCACCTCTTGGAGCAGGGAGAGGCCTTTTGGAAACTACGAATCCCAGCAGGCACCACAAGACCTCGAGGGCCAAGCTTATCAGCCTTAACGACGCTTGCACTTCCGGTGGACGGCTGAAGCTGGGGAGGGAGTTCCGGTGGGTTCGTGGCGACCCAGTGAAGGAATAGAGGCGCTCTTGTGAGCCTCTCTAGCCAGAAGAAGTACGGCATCTATGGTTGGCCTGCCCGAGCGGCGGTTTCATGGCGGCCGTGGAGGTGGCGGTGGCGGCTGCTTCCCAGGCCTGAGGGGTGAGCGGCTGAAGAGACGCGGAGCTTACGGGAGTAGGACCCGAAAATGCCTGGGCAGGGAGGACGGGGCTCGGGAGCAGGACTAGAGATGAAGAAACGCCTCCCCCCCACCCCCTTCCCCGGCTCTATGGGCGAGGTCTCTGCGGAGAACGCCCAAGGGCTAGGCCTCATCTCCCCTCCCCCACTACCCTGCTCCCTCCGCCCCCCCTTCCTCCTCCCCATTCCCTTCCTCCCTTCGCGTCTTCTTCGTTTTCGTCTTCCATTCTCCTTCTCCACCTTGTTCTTTTCTTACTCCTCTTCTCTGCCCTTAGGAGTTTACATTGTACTGGTGGGAAATAAGATCTAGGCAGCTAAATCAGTACACAATTTGTACCAGGTAAATAATTCCTCCTCCTCCTCCCACCATCCTTCCTCTGCTACCTTTCCCTCCCCAGTTTTCTCCCTCCCTCCTCCTCCTCCTCCCTGCCCTTTCCTACCATGGTCTCATTCGATCCATCTTCCTTCTTCCCTGTGGCCTATGTCTCTTCCTCCTCCTAGGTTTTACATCCCATCTTCCCTTCAGACCTGTGTAACCAGATGACAACTTTAAGTTTAAGAACCATAATTTTAAAGGAAGACGTGGTTCCTGCCCTCCCTAGTCCAAGTTGGACACATGGCCTTGCTCTGGAGTAGCTGTCAGTTTATGAGTAATGACACTCCCCCTGGTCTGAGAAGGGGAGACAGGGCACAAACACAGGGACTTTTTCTGTTGTGGTTAAGCTTCTGTTTGAAATGGCCTTATTCTTCTCTGCAGCTCGTGATTCCTAAAGGTTGTTGTGGAGCAGCTGCCTCCTAGCCAGCATTTTGGAGGATGTAGGGATACTTAAGTAGATCATCAGAAGAGCTACAGACTGCTTCTGCAGGATGGATGAGAATAGTGTGGAAGCTTCCATCCAGACCTACCATGTCCAGCTGCAGCAAGTGGAGCTGGCCCTGGGGACCGGCTTGGACCCTACAGAAAAAGCTGACTTGCTTCAGCTCCAGGCTGACTTAAAGCAGCTAATCGAGCTAACTGAGTCCAGTCTTGTGTCCATCAAGAAGAGCAAGCTCCTGGCCACACTGGACCCAAGCCTTGGCCTAATTGAGAGTGCAGTAAGGGATGAAGCTGAGTATTTGGCTTTCCAGAATGCCATTCGTGAAGTGACAGGAGATTCTGAGACTCAAGGTGCTGAAACTGCAACCTCTCCTGAAAGAAGAGAAACTGAGCCTGACAGATCTGGGCATGAAGAGGAAGAAGAGGAAGAGTTGAGTGGGATGAAGGTGAATGCTCCATACTACAGTTCATGGGGCACTCTGGAATACCATAATGCCATGATTGTGGGGACAGAGCATTCAGAGGATGGCACAGCAGGGGTTCGTGTGCTTTATCTCTACCCAACTCACAAGTCCCTAAAGCCCTGTCCCTTCTTCCTGGAGGGAAAATGCCGATTCAAAGAGAACTGCAGGTAATTCTCTCTCCCATCCCGTTCTGCCCTTACAGGTACCAGGAGACACTCAGACAGCTGAGGACAGCAGCCTCAGCTTGGAATGGTTGGGAGTGATTGGTTTAGTTTTTAATCATCTCTCATGCTGCCAAGAGGTGCAAGGTAGTTGAGGCACTCTCAGTGTTGTTTTCTTGCTCTCATTAGCACAATATAGGGCATGGCAGTATTTAGAAATTAGGGTTTGGGGTTTTTTTGGTGGAGGGGGTACATTTTGGGAGGAGGGTTCTTGGACCAGAGTTTGATCCTAGGCACATCTCCCCTTCTCCATTCCTCGGTTTACTCCTCTGTTAAATAGGACTATACTTCTTTGAGTGCTTTGAGTTCTCCTGTATCGCACATGTGTGAAGCAACCTTGCAAATGCTGTAGCTACTCACCCACAGTGAGTACCCTATGTGTCCAGTGAGATGCAGTGGTGGGGCTTTACTCCCATGTGTCTTGGGGAGGGGCAGGGACGGGGTGGAATAGGGATGCCTAAAGGGTATTGGTTTTGGTTTTGTTCTGGTTTGCAAGGTTTATGAAGAAGCATATTTCTATGTTGTCCTTAAGCTGGCTTGTGGGACTTTTCTTCCTTGACTTTACATACTGTTTTTCATTGAAAAGAATTCAGCCCAACCAAATGAGCAGTGATGTGAAAAATATGATAAAATATATAATCCAAGACCCTCAGAATCAGCTGTGTGAGCTCTTACTTTAACGGTACTTTGGCAACTTGGGACCGAATTGATTGTTATAAAGGAACTGTGGATAAGTTGCTGATCTGGCAATCCACTCCCAGAGAGCTGAGAGTGTACTGCAAACTGTCCCACCAAAAATAGTAAAAATAAAATATCCCTCAAACTCCCCATTATTTTTGAATGGGATATCTCTTTTTTTGGCATCTATCTGATTTTCTACATTTGAGTGCAAGTTCTGACAAGTACTGGATTTACTTCTTCTTGGTACCTGATGTTAGTGCCATTTATGGGTGGGAATATTTGACTTGTGCTTAACCTAATTCCTGCAGGTTCTCCCATGGGCAAGTAGTTGCTGTGGATGAGCTTCGCCCCTTCCAGGAGCCAGACCTGAGTGCCCTGCACACAGGTTCGGCCTGTCTGGCTAAGTATGATGATGGAATTTGGTATCCAGCCCGGATTACAGGTGAGCTGTTAAGACAGGGAGGACTAAGGGTTTCTTTAACCAGCATCTCTTGAAATGATTGCCTCATGCCAGTGATTTTGAAAGCTGCATCTGATTTCAGATTTTTTTTTCAAGATTCAGATGAAATCAGTTTGTTGTTAAATTTGATGTCTTTATTTCCATCATGTATTGGATACTGAAATGGGAATGGCATTTGTTCTCTTTCTTCCGCTTTGTTCATTTAACTGTACTGCTTCTGTGACAATATTTAATGAACACAATTATTGAAAAGCTCTTTGAACATAGCAGTAAATCAAGCCAAGGATTGTGTCTAGGTCCTCAATGTCATCAGGTAGAACACTGAAGTAAACTTGATCCCCCATACATTGTCAAAGATTGACCTTTATTCAGTCCATTGAGTCCACAAGTATTTATTAAGTTTATGATGTTGCAGGCATGGTGCTAGGAATATAAAGACAAAAATGAAAAATTCCCTGCCCTTGAGGAGTTTAGAGTCTACTGGGGGTAAATAAGACATTTGCAGATAAGTCCATTTAAAATATGTACAATATAAATTATAAAGCAGTTTTTAGCATGGAGGATAGCACTAACAATTTAAGGTATCAGGAAGTAGCACTTGAGCTGAGCCTTGAAAGAAATAAACAATTCTGAGAGGCAGAGTGAATAGGGAGCTCATTCCAGGGAGCAAAGATCCAGAGACTGGAGCTGAAATGTCATGCACAACAAATAGCAAGTATGTCAGTTTGACTGGTACATGGAATAGGTGAGGGAGAGTAACGTGAAATCAGTCTGGAAAAATAAATTGGAGGCAGATCTTAGAAGTGCTTTAAATGTCAAACAGACTGGTATGTATTTTATACTACAACTATACTGCTACAAAAACTTCTTAACTAGAGGTGTGACATAGTCATAGCCAGGGGAAATATTGGAACAGGACACTAGACTCACCTAAAAATACTTGATTATCATTCTCAGCTAAACACATGACATTGTATAACTTTGGGCAGTAATTGGCCTTTTTTTTCTTGCCTCAGTTACCTATCTGTAATGTTTTAGTTTCCAGTTCCACTTTTGTGGGGTTTTTGGGGTTTTTTGGGTTTTTTTTTTGTTTTGTTTTGTTTTGTTTTTGCTCATCCTGTTTGTTTCACGTGATCGTGAAGTTAATTGGTGTTCTGTTCTTCCTCCCACAGATGTGGACAGTGGCTACTACACGGTCAAGTTTGACTCACTGCTTCTCAAAGAGACTGTGGTGGAGGGGGATGGTATTATGCCTCCCCTACGCAGTGAAGACAGTACACCTTCAGAGTCTGATGGAGATGATGTGGATGACTCCAGCTATGCCAAAGGTTCTGAGATGGCTCTGCCTTACTCATGTTGAGCAGTGGAGCACTAATGTCCTTAGTATTCCAGTTCAGCCTATAGGAAATGTAGAACTCTCTGTTCTTATGAAGTCAGGTGGAAGGGCAGGGGCTAAGCATCTATAGGTCTTTCTTCAGTTAGAAAGTATTTTTTTCCATCCCAGTCTTCTTGGGGTTCTTTGGTAACTCTTATTTCTATAGTGCCTCAGTATTTGAAGAGTGTTTCCTCACAGCAACCCTGCCAGGAGGATAGAACAAATGTTGTTATCTCCATTTGACAAATGAGAGCGAAGGTCAGAGAGGCCAGGTTCCTCACCCACAGTCACACAACTAGTACATAATGGACCCATGTTTTTAATATGGGCTCCAGACTCCCAAGTCTAATATTCTTCCATTACAACCAGCTGCCACAACACCAAACCCCTCTGGAGCCTCTGTTGGTAAATGGTGCTAATCTACGGAGGAGATGAGTATGGAAGTTGGGGTGGAAGGGATAGTGTTACTGTTGATAAGGAAGAAAGAAGGGGAGAAAGGCAGTGTTGCTGCTGCTCTCTAGGGAGAGGCTCTATAGCAGTAGGGTCCTCCATATACAGTCTCTGTCTAGGTTCTGTGCTTACTAGATGCATCTGTAAGGAGAATCGCAGCTTCTATAGAATGCCTCTTGTCCCCCTTGAAGTCAACTTATGCCCGTTCTGCTGAAGAGTATATGGGAATAATTGATCTCTGAGTTCAGGTTTCATGAGAAGGAATCTTGCTACATGGTCCCTTCCTTAGTTAAAGCTAATGTCCATCTCTGGTTTTTTTGTAGTTGTGGAGTCAGATGCCTTGGAAAAAGGGGCTTGGGGCCCTGCTTGCAGCTCCTCATTTGCTGGCTGGGAGGCACATACCCGAGGCATAGGTTCCAAACTTCTCTCTCAGATGGGCTATGAGTTTGGCAAAGGTAACTTTTTTTAGCCCTTGAGGCATGTCTTCAACCTAACATTCTTCATATTTATGTTGAAGAATGGCATTGATTTGTCAGCATTGACTCCAGCTGTGTAGTTCTGTAATTTCATGTAGAAGGATAACATTTCTCTTTTGCTCACAACCCACCTTTGTCATCCTAGGTCTTGGAAAGAATGCTGAGGGCCGGGTAGAGCCCATCCATGCTGTGGTGCTTCCAAAGGGGAAGTCCCTAGATCAGTGTGCTGAAATTCTCCAGAAGAGAACAAGCAGTAAGCCAGACCTTGGCAAGCCAAGAAAAAGCCAGGCAAAGGGGAATGGAGTCAAGGGACGCCCACCCCAGCGCAATGTGTTTGATTTCCTAAATGAGAAACTCCAAGGCAAGGTTCCTAGGGTCCAAGAGGAAGGAAAGGTCCCATCCCTTAAGAGGAGTAGCAAGGAGCTTTACCATGCCAGCAAGAGTACCAAGCGATCCCTAAGTGTACAGCTCTTCCAGATCCTGGAGAAGGTGGAGCAGACTCAGAGGGACATCCGAAGTATACAAGAAGCCCTGGCCCGGAACATTGGCCGGTATGATATAGGCTTTTCCTGGAGAGGGAAGACCCTGGGGAGAGATTGGATGTTCGATGGGAGCCAACAAGAAAGACAGGATTCAGCCACACATCTGAAATTACCCTAGCCTATTAGGCTCAAGAGCCAAATCAGCAAGCCATTTATTAAGTGCTAACTGGTCATTGTTTTAGCACATCCTTTTTATCTCAGTTCAAGGATAAGAGATTGGTAGCCTTGAACTCTCCCAACCAGGCTGTGACTGTACGAGGAGCACTTGGCTCCAGAAAGGAATATCTTTTTTTTTTCTTTTTTGTGAGGCATTTGGGGTTAAGTGACTTGCCCAGAGTCACACAGCTAGTGAATGTTATGTGTCTGAGGCAGGATTTGAACTCAGGTCCCCTTGACTCCAGAGCCAGTGCTCTATCTACTGTACTATCCAGCTGCCCCAGGAATATCTTTTGAGGACAGAGTAGGGTTAGTTCAGTTTGCCAGCCTTTACATAGTTTTTGAGTCCCCCAAAGGTGGTATAGTCACCCTTAAATTGCTTAGAGTAAAAAGCAGACAGCCCCTGCTCTCATGGGGCTTCTAGTCTAATGAGAAAGACAAGATGGATACAACTTTGCAATCAATATCAGATCATGAAAAATACAAAGGAAAAGTCAGGGATTGTAGCAGAGATTGGAGAATCAACTAAATTAATTGGGGAAGGTTTCCTTGATGTAAAGCTGAGGCTGGTTCCCAGAGTAACTCCATGGTTTCTTTCTAGGCATAGCGTGGCTACAGCCCAGCTGGAGGAGAAGTTGGCCGGAGCCCAGAAGGAGCTGAAGAACCTCCGGGCCCAGGAGGCAGGTTTGCAGCGGGAACAGAAGACTGCTGACACACACAAGAAAATGACAGAGTTTTAGTGCTGAAACAGGAGTTCTCTCCTGAGTCCATCCTTCCCCCTTTCTCTTCACCTTCCCACTTACCCATCTTACCTGTCCCCACCCCCACAGTGGGTGTGGCTCAGGCCAGAAAGCCCAAGTTCCCTCCATTCTCCTTTGCTCCTATTCCCTGGGTACTTGAGGGGGCAGGCCCCACTAGGGATACTTGTGCCATCTTTAGTGAGCTCTGCTTCAGCCTCACTGACTGGAGACCCCTTCTTTTGGGCCACAGGTGTGGATATTAAGGGGTGAGGGGTTAGGACTAGCTGGAGACTCCCAGGGAATGGGCTGGCTAGAGTTATAGTTTCTGCCTCCTAAGCTACCAGACTTGGGGACCTGAATTGTACCTGCTTTAGACAGACCCAGGAAATTATAACAAATCACCTTTTCCTACACTCCCCTAGAGCCAGACTCCCTCCCAGCCTCACCCATCAGCCAGTTTGTGGCCTCTGCTCTACAGAAGACTGAAGCCTGAGGCATGTTAGGAAGGTCAGGTGTCACTCCTTCTCCTCCCAAAACACCCCTGAGAGCAGATGGAACAAGAGAGAAGGTCCAGAGGAGCTGGGCCTGCAGACCAAGGTCTCCTTCACTTTCCTGATGACCCCAGGCCTGTCCAGACACAGACCAAGCTGTGTTGATGGCACTGTGACTGGGGCAGCCTGTTCTTAGGAGGGGGGAACACTTTTCTTGACACTTGTTTTCCAGTTCTGCCACAAGGCCTTAGGAAGGAGTTTTTCTTAAAATGATTAAAGTGACTTCGTTGCTGTGTCATTAAGTGGAGAGTCTCTGGTGAGGGCTGAGACCAAAAATAAGGCGGCTCCCTGGGTACAAAATGAGGGCATAGGACTCAAGGATATAAAGATATAGCGTAGGGGGAAAATGGGGCTGAGTAGGGACTGCTTCATAGGAGCTGTGGCTGACTAGTTCCCTACCTCTTCAAAAGTGGTCATGGCCATCTGGGTAAAGAGAGCAATCAGTCAGATGGGGGAAAACCTTTCAGCCCCAGCCTTAATCCTGGTCCAAATACAGCTTCTCTGTCAAAAGGAAAATCAGAGAGACCAGAATAGCAAGTAAAAGAACCCAGAGCATGTCATTGAAGTTTCACCCCCAGATTGACTATAATTCAGCACAAGTTACCAGTGTACAAGGTGGGTGGTGGCTTGGCTGTTGGCCTTTGATTTACTGCTTAGAATTCATTAACTGAGCCTAATGGATTGACTAGAGGGGCCAAGGGTGCTGGACTGAAACATTCCAAGGCTCCAGCAGAGGGAGCAGTTCTTTGCTAGGTCCCTCCAGTCTGCAGAATGTGGAGTAGGTGCTAGAGGTTTAGAAACTACACATGGTTGGGTGGGGAGATGTGCTAAGCACGGGCCAGGAAATGAGCCCGTGGTGCTAAGGGTGGGGGCTGAACAAAGCAGCCACCACTTTAGAAGACATGGTGGAACTGTCCGGAGGCTGGCTGGTGGGTCCAGAGCCTCCATCCAGCAGCGTGAAGACGAAGATACCCTAGCAGCAGCAGAAGCAGCACCAGTGATTGAGGAACCTGAATATAAAGACCGGTCAAGTTTGCCTGAAAGTAAGTGCTGTATAGGCTTCTTGGGTTCTACAAGAAGAGGCCTCTGGAGCCATTGGAAAGCAAAGGGGAATTAGATCCCAGTGAACCATTCCCAACCATCCCCCAAGCTTAGGCAGGGGACAATTAGAAGTTGGTATCCTTGGTATAGAAGCTATCCCACTTAGCATCTAACAAACTTATGGTTGAAGTCAGCTAAATGCTTTTCACTAAGCCAAATACCAGGGTAGGGGTACCACCAGTTGAGCAAAGCCAGCCTCTTTCCAGCAGTGGGGAAGGAAGAAGCAATGGCTCGAAATTGGTTTGTATGGAGCTAAAAGGTCAAAGCTATGTGATTGCTTTCCTAGGAATTTTGGGGACTACATCCTCCCACCCTGCCCTAACTGACTCTAAGCAAAGACACTTTTACCAGTTTTGGGGGTAGTAATTAAAACAACCTAGTATTTTAATCTTAGGGAGAATTCTCCCAATTTAGCAATTAGCCAGTTCCATTCTGCTTCCTGGCCACTATTCCCTGTCACATCACTCATCCTCCACTAGGAACCCTGTACTGGTAAGAGAGAGTTGTTTTCTGGATTTTAATTCAAAGCTAGAAACTACCTTGTCCCCATTGTTGGGTTAGGGGGAACCTCACCTCCACACACCAGAAACCTTCATGTCACTTCTTAAACCTTGGGGGGTTGGGGTCATCAGGCAGGAAACAGAAAAGCAGATGGTTGTATGAAAGGGCTTCTGTTGCTGCCCTGTCAGGATGGCTAACAAGGAGAGGCTTCAGAAGCTGAAGCTTAGCCTAAGGTCTTCTGCAAGATGCCCTACTCAACTTACTCCTGCCTTCCTTGATTCCTCTATGATATCCATGCATTCTTCTCTTTATGTGTAGCTCCCTGGCCTCAGAGTTCTGAAATCACCAAGGCATTTTGAAGGGTGGAGAGAGGGTGGCAGTTTCCCTCCTTTTCCAGCAGTTGGGCTCAGTGGCAGCAAAAGCTGATACCTTTCAAGGCCTTCCTTACCATTTGGATTTCTAAAGTAAACGTATTCTCATCAGAAATGCTCCATTCACATCCTGGATGCAATGGTGAACTCTTCACCACTTCCTCCATCATCATTCCTTCACTCCCTTTGCTCTCCCATTTCCCCAGCCAAAAAAAAAAAAAGTTAAAGCAGGATCTGAGATTAGTGGGGCTGAACGTGGTGAACTTAGAATGATAAAATCACCACCTCAGTAAGGTCTACAGCCTTTGTGGTTTGTGGGGTCAGTAGGGTGTACTTGTCTGTGGTTTGGGGTGAAACCACAACTGATTCTGGGTCAGCAGGGCTTGAAATCTCCCAAGTATGGTTATTGGGGTGGGGGGAAGGAGGCTCTTTAACTGGGGTCAGTGGGATGGGTGAGCCATTTTCATTGTTCCTCCCCTCCCCCTCCAAGGTTCCAGGAGCCTTGGTGTAGCAGACCTTGCCACGGGGAGCAGCCTTTAGGACAAAGATGTACCCCCAACTCCCTTTGACATTGTGGGAAAGCAGTCTCAGGAACACAGCTAGGACAAACACAACTAGAGTGTTCTCAGGCTGGGAGTGCTTCATGTAGCAACCTGATGGATGGATACTTGGACATAAATGGAAATCATATGTAGATCAGTAAGGATGGCTTTTTAAGGCACCAGCTCAGGTACTGTAAGCAACTCGTCTACATCAGAGACCACAGGCAGTGGGGGAGGGGGGCCTAGAAGCTTTTTGGTTTCCTGTTCGCTGAGTCAGAGCATCCCCTCCCTCAGCATCCCACCATCTGCTCTTGGAGGGGGTGGGGAAGGGGTTGTATCCTTCAGAGATCCAAACTGGTATTTTCTAATTCCATCACAACTACACCATACTTCCTGACCTGGCCCCTTCTTCACAGGCCAGAATACAACAGCTCCCTGCATGGCAGTGATTCAGACTGTCCCCAAGCCCCAATCCCCTCCAGCCCTTTGGATCCTGAGCTTCCTGGCCTTGATACTTATGCTTTGTGCCTTGTGTACCACCTGTCACAGGTATGTCCTCCTGTCACCCATCATTCAAAATTACTCCGTCATCCCATCAGGGATTCAGTTCAATTAATCATACCCACGTAGGGCCTGTTGTAGACAGATGGGAGGAGCCAATGAGGAAGCTCTAGGGGAACTCAGACTGCTTGGAGAGGTGAGACTTGAGGAAGCAATAGAATGAGGTGCTAAATTCACCAATGTATGAAAGAAGATAGAGCTTTGGTTGAGGAGGTGGAGAGCCCCATGAGCTGAGGTAGCCTGCCCTCAACCTTTTTTCACAGACAGAGATGTGACTTGAGCTGGTCTTGAAGGATGGCTGGTATTTCAGAGCAGGGATTGGGGAAGGAAAGTGTGGCAGAGGGGAAACTTGATGTATCGAAAAGAACAATGAACTTGAAATCAGAAGGCCTGAGTTCAACACCATGTTACCTTGTTAGTCACTTCTCTCTCCACCTCAAACTGACTTCAGTTCCCTCATCCATTAAAAAGAGAGATTTAGATAAAGTGAAGGTCCCTTCCAGCTCTAACATTCTGTGATCCTACTCAGTTTTCTCTTCTGTAAAATGAAGGGGTTAAACTAGATGATTGCTAAGGTTTTTCCCCAGCTCTAAATACTGTGACCTCATGTCCTGCCTCACAGCCTGTTGTAAGGCATACACTTTACAGATTTGCAAAGCTCCCTAGAAATAGGAGCTGTGATATTACTCCACAGAACAAAATGGGAATGAGAGATAGTGACAGAGAGAAGGAGGAGGAGAAGGGGGGTGGTGGTGGGAGAGACAAAGAGAGGGAGAGAGAGAAAAAGAGTGCTAAAGGAAGTATAAGATGATGTATGTTTTGGGACAGTGAGACATGAAGCTAGGAAGGTGTTAGTTGATCCAGGTTGGTGAGGGTTTGGCCTTTATCCTGTGTGAAACCACCAAATGATGAAGCCAGAGTTGTGTGGCAGGAGATATGCAGAATGAATTGAAGCAAGACAGAAAGTGGTGGTTCTAAAACTTTCCACATGACTCTAGGTAAGTAATTTCCCTTCTCTGTACCTCAGTTTCCTCCTCAACAAAATAAGTGGTTTGGAAGCTTAGAAGCTTAATATTTTAGAGGCAGTATGATATAGTGGAATAAATATTGGAGAGACCTGGGTTCGGATCCTGGATTTGATAGTCAGCATCACCCTGGGCAAGTCATTTAATTACTCTGAGCCTTAGTTTCCTTATTTGTAAAATGGAGATGGTAATGCTTATTATTGTGAGCAAAGTGCTGTGCAAACCTGAAAATTTTATACGTGTCTGTAATCATATGATACTGTGACATCAGTTAGGAATGATACTTTGCCCTTAATACCCATACCCATGCCCCTCTAGTTCCGTTTCTCCCCCAACCCCAATCTTTGTGACAGGTGGGAGTGGTGATGGAAGTCTGTGGTAACTTGGGGTCTTGCCCACTGGTGAGTAAACCCCTCCCACTCAGGGCCTGAGACTCACTATGGACAAAGACTAACCCCCTTAATCTCCTCTCCCCACTTCTGTCCTCCAGGAAGGGTAAAAGAAGGCAGCAGTCTGGGCTGAAGCTAGTGGATGTGGTGAGTGACTTTAGGTGGGACAACGATAGTGTGACACGCCCCCCCCTTACATGGGCTTTGGGCTTCAGGAATGTGGCTCATGGTTGAAACTGGGGGAAGTACTAATTAGATGTCCCCTCGTTCATCCCCTAGTCATTACTGAGACAGACCCAGCTTCGTTCACTCAGCAAGTCAGACTCCAGACTGCATGAACTCAACCAGGGCCCTAGGAACAGTAAAGGTGAGGGATTCTTTGTCCCTTTCAGTCTCAAGTCTTTTTCCTACCCTACCCCTAAGAGACCAAGTAGGTTCTTATCTTCTCCTTGTTTCCTTCTCTCCACCCCAAGTTCCATTGTCTTGTTCCCAACTTGCTGTCCTTTTCCCTAGCCCAGCGTCCTATCAGCAGTGACCTCCTATACACACGGTGGCCAGGAGGGATCAGGGCTGATGTTCAGATGACCACAGTGCCTTCTGTCTTTATTCACCGTGAGTTGCCCCAGCCCCCACTTGCTTCAGACTCCTTGGCCCTTGAGTCCACGTATTCCAATGTGAGGCTGGCAGCTGCCCCAAGAGCTCCCCCCATGACGCAAAGGGGAGAGGAACAGCTGAGTATTTCAGAGAAGTTGGTAATAGCAGAGTATGCCTGTGTACAGAGGAACAAGACAGGGGCTGAGGTGGGACCCAGCATGACAGGTCCCAATGATTCAATCCCTGGGGAGAGAGGAACCCTGCAACCTGGAAAAGCAGCTGAGGTAAAGTGGGTCTGGAGAGACTGGAGTGCTCTGGGCTAGGGGAGATATTGGCAGGGTTTGTGCTCGGGAAGAAGAGGCATGGTGGGGGGGGGGGAGGTCAGTTCATGAGAACTCTATAGTATCTCCCCTTTCTGTTCCCAATTTCTCCTTCTTTCTTTCCTGGTCCCCCCTTCCCCCTCCCCAAACCAAGATGTAGAACTGAAGAGGCCAGGATCCTCATTGGTATCCAGGTTACTCTGGTTTCTGCATATTTCCCCAGGTGGAGGTTCTGTATTCAAAGATCAGCAGGGTAGGCCGGAAACCCTTGGAGCCCACCTGGAACAGCGCTCTCTGTAACCAGCTGGACAGAAATACTCAAATCCTCCTAGTGGAGACTGCAAATGAACAGAGCCTGAGTCCGTCCACAAACCCCTCCTACAGGACTAGCAGTCCCACCTGGGGCAGGGATACAGAAAATGGGCCCACTGAGAATTTTTATGAGAGCATCAGTGAGATGGAGGGGCTTGGTAGGGCACAGACTCATAAGCCCTCTGAAGATTTATGAAAATGGGGGGGGGAAATAAAGGCAAAAGGAGTCCAGTTGTGTGTGTATATACCTGTAATCATGGGATTGGGGTGGAGGGACAAGGAGAGAAGGCAGTCTGAGGTTGGGAACTTTTCAATCTGTCCCCCTCATCCCCTGTTCAGGTACTCTTTTCTTGGGCTTCTGTCTCTCCCTGAGTGCTTTTTGGATGAAGACTCCTATATTTGAATATTATGGGACTCAGAGGAGATGCAATCTGAGACACAGGACAGTCTGGCAGACTGAATGTTAATGTGTATGGACCATATCATGCAGTGGCAGTTCAGAGGATTGATAAGTGAAGGGTGGGTGTTAGAGAAGGCATGGGAAAAAAGTAAGACAAAATAAGTAGAGATGTGATATAGAGATCACATTTAGGAAATTCATGAGGGAACAAAATGGAACACAAGGAAAATGGAACATTGGAATAAGATGTTGGTCAGCTAACAGACCACCCCTTCCTGTGCTTGAATAGCTTGAAGCAGTGAGCTGAGGGGTCCCCCTGTCCTAGAGATGCAGGGTTGGGGACTGACCTCTAGCAGGAATACATTCTCTGGAGGCTGGTGAATATTGGCTGTCGGAAGGAGAGGGTTAAGAAGCATAGGATTGCCGAAGGCTTGCCCATCCACGGTCTGCCCAGCCCCCACAGTTACGTAACTGGTTGTTGAAAATTAACCTGGACAGTGCACAAGGCTGGCCCTAGTGAAAAGAAGATGGAGGGGACGATGGGATGGAGGAAGTACTTCATTCTGGGCCACAGGGCATTAAATCCTGAGAAACAGAAATGGGGAGGTAGGTGACCTGTGCTAAGGCCCATTTGTGCTCTTCAGCCCCAACTACAAAGACTTCCTTTTCATCTTCTGGGTGCCATGTGCCTAACTTGCCCTGAGGTCTACAAGGCCAGTGAATAGAGTAACACTACTGCTTTGGTGTTTAAATCAGTGTACCGGCTTCCTCATTCCTCATCAGGGATCTATACCAAGAAGCAGTCTTGAAACCAGGTCCCAACTTTTGGGGATTCAAAGACTCAGATGCTCAGAGTTCAGAGGCAGCGCTGGAGGGTTCTAAGGGGAAGCAGGCCCATGGAGTATAACGGGCATGGTAGGGGCGTTTCTGCACCCCCTCCCCAAAACAGCCTTATCTGAGACACTGTCAGTTTAAAAATCCTTTAGTGGAACAGGCAGGCTCCAACAACCCACTACCCAGGGTCGGGAGCCCTGCAACGTAGCTCCCAAACTGGCCATGTGGGAGCCGGAGACCTCGGAGAAGGCGCGGAGGGGCGGGACGGGGCGGGGACTAAGGGCAAGTATGGCCTCTAGACGCACCTCTAACGCGGGCCTGGATGGGCCAGCTGTCCGCCACAGCCCGCGCCCGGGCCCTGAGCCAGGCGGGCCTGGTGGCACGGAGAGAAAGGTCTCGCAGTCCCTCCGTATAAAATGATTTGACACATTAGGATAATGGATTGTGTTTTAGCGTAGTAAACCCGACGCACCTAGCGACTGCGTGTGTGTGTATGTGTGTGTGTTTCGGGGGGAGGTGGGGGTTGAATGTCTATCCTCTCAACCTCCTAAGCCTGGAATCCGCGTTCCTACAGCCCTTACTATTTTCCTGCTATTCAGGATCCCGCATTGATTCGGACTAAGAACTCCCGCCCTTCCCGCTCGCTTCCTCCCGGGCCTAGCTCCTCCCCACAGAATACCGGCCGGGAGCCGGACTCTTGCCTGTGGAGTGTAGCCGGAGGCGGGAGCGCGGAGTGAAGGCGGGGTGGGGAAGGAGCGAGTGCAGCGCAACACTCCATTCTCCCCCCCCCCCGAACCCAGGCCAATGAGAGAGTGAGCCGGCTCCGGGCCACGTTCCATCTCGGAATGTTGATACAGCGCGCTGACCAATGGGAGCGTGCGGCAGGGGGAGGGGAGGTGGGCTGCACGCGCAGCTAGGGAGAGCTAGAGAGCGGGCGCGCGAGGGGGGCGTGGTCCCCCTTGTTGCAGACCCGGGAGAGCGGCGAAGGAAGCCACCCGGCCCGGTTCCAGGGCTAGGGGCTTCGCCGGCCGGCAGGCCGGGAGGGAAGCAGGGGAGTGGGGTGCACAGTGTTGGCAGGCCGTGGCTAGCCACCCCCTCCCCTGGCACAGCGGCCCGGAGGCAGCCCGGGGTCCCCCTCCATGGAGTCCCAGCGAGCTGTGGCGGCTGGTAGTCGGATCTGCTCCCCGCCCCCGGGACTGACGGCTGCGGCCGCGCTTGGCTGCCCAGACTGTCCCCCGGCTCGGGGGCTGTGCTGCGGTGTCCTTCCGCCCTGCAAACCTGGCCCCCCCGCAGCCCCCGGCCCCGGCCCTGCCGGTAACGCCGTCTACACGGTGCTGGTGGACGAATCTTTGCTGAGGCGGAAGGCGGGGTCGGGGTCGGCCCCGGCCCCGGGGAGGCCCGGACAGCTGCAGCAGGTAACTGGGCGGGGGGTCGGAGGGCGGGGCTGGGGGCCGGGGTGGTGCGCGGGACAGTCCTGGGCCGAGGTCGGCCCTGGCTCCTGGACGTAGGTAGGGTACTGTCGGGGTCGACGCTGGGGGGGGGCAGGGATCGGAGCGGGGGCTCCTCCCGAGAAACTTTCTCTTGCTGCAAAGATGGCGTCGCAGCTGGAGGCGGCTGCAGAAAGTTTGGGCTTCGGGGGGAGGGAGGGAGCCGGGGCTTCGCGGGAGGGAAGCGGGGGGAGGGGAAGAGGACCCCCCCCCCCGAGCTCTCCTCCCCCCCGGCCCGGGCCGTCCCGTCAGTCACACCGCCGGGCGCAGGGTGGAAGGCGGGGCGGGCCCGAGCAGCGCGGGCTCGGGCCTTAGGAGCTGGGGGAGGTGGTGTTGGAGCTAGACTTCCCGCCGGCCCGGCAGGGAGGGGGCGGGGCCGGCGTCCGGGCGGCGCTGGGGGGAGGGCACGTGGGGTGGGCCCAGGGGGAAGGCCCGAGGCGCTAGCTGGGGTGTGGGGGGGGGCGCTCAAACTTCCGGGCCCTGGCACCCCGTGTATGCTGCCTTGGTGCCAGCCAGAGGGAGGAAGGATTCATTTCGGAGGTGTTCCCTGGGCCCCGGTCTGCAGCCCCAGGAAATCTGTGGGAGCCGCGGGAATGGGGTTTAAAAAACCACCGAGCAATATGCGTGTGTGTGTGTGTGTGTGTGTGTGTGTGTGTGTGTGTGTGTGTGTGTGTGTGTGTGTGTGTGTGTGTGTGTTCGTGTGTTCGTGTGTTCGTTCTGCAGAATAACCTAGTCAGACCTAGGAGAGATCTCCTGTGTTCTTTGCTCCATTATGGAGCCCCAGAGTTTGGAGGGCTCTTCTGTGGGGCAGGACAGAGGACTTTAAACTTGGAGAGAATGGGGGTTAAGGAGGGAGTGATGTGATACTATTGCCTTGCCTAAGCCAGGCCTGTGTTCTGTCAGCAGGGGTCTATCCATTGCAGTGGCCAAGTGGGGCCAGAGGAATTGCTGCCTGGGCAGAAAGCCGAGGATCCATGGGGCCTGGGGAGCTGGGATGAGGTTGGAGACTGGGACCAGAGTGGGCTGCTGCAATCTGCATACATCCCTGTCCCCAAGCAGAGGTGAGAAGCTCTTAAGGGAGGAAGATGTCTGCCTCCCAAGTCCTCTGTAACTAGGTCTGCCTATTTCCACTTTTCCCAGTCATGAAAAGTTGTTGCATTCATACTGTGTTGTTCTAGGGAAAGGTGTGTTTAGTGGGGCACTGACAGTCTATACTGGAATAGACAGAGTATTTACAGGTGTGTGAGGAATGGCCCATCCTCCAGAGGGATATACTAAGGCAGAGAGTGAAAGCGGTAGCTAGACTGGGACTCGACTCCTGGGTTCCAGGCCTGTGGGTAGCTCTCTAGCCTAGCACTTTCTGCATCCAAGCTTCTAGGTACAGAATGGTGAGGTTGACTAGGAAACAGGGAGAGGAGTAGTAGAGTAGTGTCTTAGATACTTCCTGGCACTAATGGCTTTCTTGGGTGAGGTATAACTAACTGAGCTCTAGGGGCATTTTGGGAATAAGGTAGACTGGGTAGAGTTGAGTAGAATTGGGCTGAACAGGGAGGGTGCTGAAGAATCCAATGGAGACCCTTTGTAGGACAGCTTGTTGATCTGGCTCCTTTCCCTTGGACTGAGGCTTCAGCACTTTTCTGTGCCCAGTAGGTCACTGAGTTGGGCGCTAAGGAGACAGGAACTCTGTTGGTTTAGTAAACAGCCAGGCTTTGGCCTGAGTTCAGAGGTTGCCCTAAAGCAGAAGTTCTTAACTTGGAGTCCGTGAACTTAAAAAAAAAGTTTTTGGTAATTTTATTTCAATATGATCCATTTCCTTTGCAATGCTATGTATTTTTTGCATTTAAAATATTTTGAGATGGGGTCCATAGATTTCACTAGACTACGAAAGTGGTCAATGACACAAAGAAAGATTAAGAAGCTCTTTTCCTAATGGTTTTTTCTGGTTGCTGCAGAAAGCTGGAGGAATTTGACAGTTCTCTGTTCTAAGAAGGATAGAAATCCCTAGGACAAAGAATTCCTCATTTCCGCTACTATCCTTAACCTTGTATGTACTGTCCTCCATTCTGGGGGAGATGGACAAGGGAGAATTGCCTAGTGGGTTGGGAGGGGTCACCCCCTTATTGGGTTGAATGGGGGTAGAGGAAAAATGAGGCTCTATTTCTGCACTTGGCATGTGGACCCTGGTTAAATTCTAGAGGGGTGGTAATAGATATGCCTCCCCACTGGTCGATGATCAGTTTTCCCCCCAAGAGGCTGGGGCTGCAGTCATTCCCACCCCTTACTCCCCCCTTCCCTTTAGTCTGTTTGTTCTCAGTCTCATTATTGCATAACTCTGGTTAATGTGTGATTCCTTGAGTTCCCTTCAGTTCAGTGGAGTCCTCCCTCCAAGTGGGGAGGCAGGATGGGGGCGATAGAACAGGGTCACAGGAAGCAGGGGGCTCTAGCTGTATTCTGAGAGGCTTCAGCTCCTCTTTGGGTCTCGGTGCTCCTGTCTGCAGAATGAGCAGATT